GCTTAATCACAAGGAACAACAACAGCCTATAATTATTGGAATGGAGAGTCTAGGTCAGTGGTCAGCAAACTCATTAGTCAACAGAGCGGCAAACTGTGGGTCGTGAGCTGCATTGTGAGCCGCAGTTTGCCTACCACTGGCTTAAGGGGATGTTGTCACTGGTTTGATCTTTCCAGACCACTAAAACTCTCTCCATATGAGCAATAGGCTGTTTTGCTCTCTTATCATTTGTGTGTTCACCGGAGTAGCATTATTAACTTCCTTTATAAAATTTTCCTTTGTTTTCACAACTTGACTAACAAGAGGCATAGCTTTTGACCTATCTCGACTTTCCACATGCCTTCCTCACTAAGCTTAACCATTTCTAGGTTTTAGTTTAAAGTGAGAGGTGTGCAACTCTTCCTTTCACCTGAATACTTAAAGGCCATTTTAGGGATAATAATTGGCCTGATTTCAATATTGTTGTGTCTCAGGGGCTAGAGAGGCCCAAGGAGAAGAAAAGAGATGGGGAACATCCAGTCGGTGGTGCAGTCAGAACACACAACATTTATTAAGTTTGCCATCTTATACGGACACTAGAGGCCTGGTGCATGAAATTCGTGCACTGGGTAGGGGGTGTCTCTCAGCCTGACCTGCACCCACTCCAATCCGAGAGCCCTCAGGGGATGTCCTACTGACGGCTTAGGCCCGATCCCCATAGTTCTCTGCTCTCTGCAGGGCCTGCCTGCTCCACATCACGGTGACTGACAAGCAGGCCATGCTGGATGCTGCCTGCAGGCTGGGCTTTACTGCTCCTGGGTTGCTGAGGCCATGCTGGGTGCTGCCTGCGGCCGTGCTTGCCTGCTCCCAGGTCGCTGTGGCAATGGCCAAGCAGGCTGGCCTGGGAGCTGCCTCCTCTGTGCTGTCAGTCTCCACAGAGGCCATGAGGTTAATTTGCTACTAACTCCTGATTGGCTGTTTGGTGTCCAAAGTGATGGTCAATTTTTTTGACCATCATATTTCTTTTTTACTAGTATAGATGGTTTGTGGTACCCCTAAAACAATTGCAACAGTAATATCACAGATCACTGACCAAAGGTCACCATAACAAATATAATAATAATGAAAAAGTTTGAAATATTGTGCAAATTACCTAAAGGGTGACACAGAGACTCAAAGTGAGCAAATGCTGTTGGAAAAATGGTGCCAATAGACTTCTTCAATGCAGGCTTGCCACAAACTTTTAATTTGGAGGGAAGGGAGGGTGGCTATAAAACCAACCACACCAGTAATTAAATAAATGCAAAATGGACTAAGTACTCCAAGTAGAAGACTAAGGCTGTCACAGTGTATCTTTTAAAATGTCAGCTATATGGTACCCATTAGAGATTTACTTTAAATATAAGCACGCAGGAAGTTTAAAATAAAAGGATAGAAAAATGTATTCTCTGCTAGCACAGATCAAAAGAAAGCTGAAGTAACTCTATTATTATCAGGCAGAAGGAGGCTTGCAGGCAAGTAGCATTACTCTGTATCCAGAGAGTCATGTCATAATTGTAAAGGAGACAATTCACAGGGAGTTCCAGCGAGCTATGTGTACCCAATAATTTAGCTTCAGAGCGAACAAAGCAATAATCAACAGAATAAAAAAGGATCTCACCAGACAAATCCACAGTCCATTTCAATACGCTGCTCTAAATAGCTAATGGAATGTGCAGCAGAACTTTGAATAGACTAGAGAAGTTCTGAAGAATATAATGAAATAGACCCACTTGACATACTCAGGAAACCGAAGGCCCGTGACGAAGTGAGCACACCTTTTTTCAAGTGCTTATGGAACATTTGCCAAAATCATCTAAGTGTCGGGTCATAATCCAAGGCTCAATATCTCAGAAGACAGCCTGAAGTCATTTAGACTTTAGAATCTATTCTCTCCTCACAATGGAATCAACTTTAAAATTGATAATAAACAGTAAATTAGAAAATCCCAACTGTTTGGATATTAAACAATGCACTTAAAATTAAGAATTGGAAAAAAGAATAAACCACTAAGGAAATGATAAAACATTTTGATGAATGATAATGAGGATATGATATACCGAAACTTGCACGATATGGCTAGGCCTGTACCTAGAGGGCAATGTATAGCCATCAATTCATACATTAAAGAAATAAAAGCTGAACAGTAATGATCTAACATTTTATCTCAAGAAATCTGAAAAAGCCAATTAAATCTCAATGAAGTAGAATGAAGACAATAATCAAGGAAATAGAAATAAAACAATATATGAGAGAAAAATACTAATAACAATAAAGTAGTTACTAATAAAACTGACACACCTCAAGTGCTTCTGGTAGGATGGAGTAATTCATAGCAAGCCAACATTCCCAATGAAAAACAAAACGAAACCAAACACGTGACAAAGCCCAGTCCATTACCAAAATAAAAGGTTCCCGAGAGCCGCGGAAGCGGTGCTGACACAGGGACTGAAGTTCCCAGGTGAGAGGACCCTGCAGAGGCCAACTGAGGCCATGCACCTGCATTTTCCCTGGGGACAGCTGAGGATTCTGGGAGCGGATTTGAGCCTAATAGAGCTGGGCCAGCCAGAGGGCCCCTCCAGCAGAGTGTGTGCTAGGTGTGTGGTGCTAGGATCTCAAACTTGGGAGGTGGAGGGGGCAGGCTCAAACCAGGACTGGTCCCCTCCAGGCAGGGCTGAGCTCTGGGACCGCTCAGGGCTGAGTCTGAAACCAAAGCAGCCTGCAAAGCCCCAGGCTGCGGTACTCAGGCCCACCAGGCAGAGGCCTGTAACCCCACGGCGAAGACGGAAGCCTAGAGGTGTGGTCAGTGGACACCACGTCTGGCCACTGCTCCTGTGGGTATGGGGCTTGGACCAACAAATCTGAAGATGTTCTGACCTCAAACACGCAGTTGGTCTCCCCTAAGATTAGGAACATGTCCGCAACAGGAAGCTCAAGGGTGAGGACTGCTCGTCCCCTCCCCGCACCTGGCCTCCGGGACGGGCACTCTGCTTCCCCGGGTATTTTCTTCTGAGTCACACGCCCATGACCAGGCTGGCCACCCCATTAGGAAGTGACGGTCGTGGGTGGGAAGGGCGTGAGACCCCCTGCTGGGCGGAGAAGGAGCACCTGCACCAGGCCTGGCTGGGGGCGGATGAGAAGGGGAGGCAGAGCAGCAAGAACTGGGGCGCTGGCCGGCTGATACTGCTCTGAGGCATCCCGCCTGGGGCTGTTTGCTGGCAGCTCTGCGGCCCGTCCTTCTCCAGAGGCCTCACCGGGACCCGGGGGTGGTCTGAAAAGGGGGGCGCTCAGGATGCTTATGAGGGTGATGAGTAACAACTTCCCATCAGGAACAGCCGACTAAGGGGACGGGAATGGGGACGTGGCCCACGCTCCTGGCGGATGGAGCACTCAATTAGGCTGATTACTCAATGAGACTAATCCTGACCTCTGTGTCCTTGGGAGTTTGTCACTTTATGTTCCCCACGGTCGCTGTCACCAAGCAACCACACCTCTCTCCACCCACGTTGCCGTGGCGCAGGCCTCTGCCAAATGCACACCAGGCACCTCCCGTGTCTCCTGAAGGGGTTTGACAGACTATCCGCTGCCCAACATGTACCTCCTCTTCTTGCATGAAGAGAACCATGCTTTTCCTGAAGGTGGTCATGTTCCCAGTCACACACACACACACACACACACACACACACACACACACACAGGCCTGGTCCATAAAAAAAAAAAAAGCTGCTGGGAGAAGCTTCTAAGAATGCTGTTTTAAAGCAGAAAGACGTGTGTAGCTCAAGCCTCTGCCCCTCCCTCTCTGCTCTGTGCCCGAAGCCCACGTGCCGGCTGGCCTGCAGGCATGGGGCGGCCTGCACTGGCAGCTCAAACCGTCTCGCAGAGAGGGAAACAGCAGCCTCTCACTCACACGCTGTTTGGGGGCGTTGGCTACTAATTCCACGTGTGGTGGGGGAGGGGAAGGAGATGTATGCAGGGAAGGAACAGAATATTCTGGATCTCCCTAAAGTTCCATCGCTGTTCTCTGCACCACCACCCGCTCCTGATTCGTTGTTAAATGAAATGCCTTTGAGAACACACGGCAGTCACAGCACGTGGCTCGGGGGCCAGAGCAGGGGCCTGGAGGGCTCTTCTGGGAGAGAAGGGGGGACAGGGCTGTGGTGAGAAATGACGTCATGTGTGAGGGGACACGCTCAGACCGGGTCTAGCAGGAGCCCAGAAGCCCCAGCAAAGCCACACATTTCCCCGTGAGAAGCACACGAGCTCACAGAAGCCCCGACAGGCCGCCTCGGAGAGGACTGTCCCCTCCCGGGATGTCACTGGTTGCCTCTCACATTCAGCAGAGAAGAGAAGAGGGAAGAGGTCATGTGTTACCGAACTGGACTGGCACAGCGGGGGAGCCTCCTGGCCACGTGGGCAGTGTCCTCGGAGGACGGTGCGGCTCATGGGTGTGGGGCGCTGACGCCCGCCTGGCCCGAATCCAGCCCTGCGGCTTCCCCCTCGGAGCCCGGAGCCCTGCTTCCTCCGTGCTGCCCTTAGTCCTGGTGGTTCCTGAATCCTCTGCCCCAGGCCACGTGCCCACACACCCGCAGGCCTCCGGCCTCTGTTCTGTGAGGGAGGGGAGGCGTGGGCCGTTCCAGGAGCCTCTGTCCCCCTCTGGGCCGCCAGCCTCTCCTCCTGCCCCGGGGCTGCTGTCGGAGCTGGCACAGAAGACACGCAAAGAGCCTGTGGCAACGCCTGGCCTGGGGCGGACACCTGTACATACAGCACTCACAGTTGTCCCCTCTTGGAAATGCCTGTCATTGCATTCTCTGAGCCTGGCACACGCACGGCTACTGAGAGCGATGCCTTCCTGAGCAAGAGCTGAGGCTGCCCGCTGAGAACTGAGCGCGGGAAGCCCGGCGCCATGCTTGGCAGCGCGTCTGTGACAGAGCAGCCGGCCTGCCTCAGGAAGGAACACGGACACGGGAGGCCGGTCCTCCTACCTTCCTGAAGTCGCACGAGTTCACCCTGCCACTGCCGTCCTTGCTGGAGTCGAGAAATTGCTTCCTGAACGCGGGGTCCTGCAGCTGGACCCAGTGCCGCAGCCTCTGCACCGCCTCGTCCTTGGTCACCGTCTTGGTCCTGGAGCTTCTGTCCTCCGGGGGCTTGGCTCTGAAAGCACAGCGGGCACAGGTCCGGCGGGTGCGCCTGCACACACCCCACTTTCCGTTCCGCCAGCACCACCGGGAGGCTCGCCCTCAGGCAGGTGGCAAGCGAACGTGCTGGGCCGATGGCGCCCCCTGGGGCCGGCTCACAGGCCTGGGGCTCACAGGTGCGCCCCGAGTTGGCGGGAGCAGTGTGTGGGGTTGGGAGCGGGGCGGGAGCCTCGGGGAGAGAACGCTGCCGCCTGGCTGTGGGATTTCCGCTTGCGTGCTGAGCCGGCTGACACGCGGGGGACAGGAGGCGTGGTGGGAAGGGACTTCCATGTGACCCGGGGAGACGACGCTTCAGACAGCTGCTGTGTGGCTACCAGGCCCAGGGTCATCGCCCTCCGCGGGAAGGAAGGCTGACCGACGGCCTTCCCCGCGGGCCGAGGTTCCCGCTGCGCCTGCCTCTGCCCCGTTACCTCTGGGCGCCCTCCGACGGCGGCGTCTCCTGCTGCCCGGGCTCGCGGGGCGGCCGCCCCTTCACGGCATTAGCTGGGCAGGCGGCGGGCAGGCCCGGGACGCCCATGCTGGCCAGGAGGTTCTTGTAAAGGACCTTCCCCGAGGCTGGATCCTGAAACTTACTGCAGAGCCTGGACGGGAAGGGCAGGAGCGCGCGCCCATCAGAACGGCGCGACCACAAAGACGGGCGGCGAGGGGTGGGCGCCTGCACCCGCCCGCCTGGGGGAGCGGCCCGGGCAGCGGCCGCTGGGAGAGCCCGCGTGGCAGCTGAACACGCACTTCCCGAGGAGCCAGCCACTCTGCCTGGAGAGCGGGGGTGGTCCCCACAGGGGCCGCGCCTGCCAGTGCCAGCCCCAAACCGGAAGCACTCCGAGCACCCAGCACCATGGATGCAGGAGGTGTGCACCCCGCACTGCCGAACACTACTCAGCAATGACAGGGGGTTCCCCCTAACCCCCGGAATGCCCGTCACAAACATGAACCCCAGGCTCATCGTGAGGGTGAACAGAGCCGGACAGGAGGGCAGCACCCTCCTGGCCGGTGGTTCAGTGGTTAGAGCGTCGGCTCTTGCACCAAAGGATGGCAGGTTGGATTCCCGGTCAAGGGCACGTACCTCGGTTGCAGGCTCGATTCCAGGCCCAGTAGGGGCATGTGCTAGAGACAACCAATAGTTATATCATTGATGTTTCTCTCTCTCCCTCTCTCCCCCGCACCTCCCTTCCACTTTCTCTAAAAGCAATGGGAAAAATACCCTCGGGTGAGGATTAAAATTTTTTTAAAAAAGAAGCGAACACCACGTATGCTTTCACTTACGTAAAATCACAGAAAGTGCAAAGTAACCAGAGCAGTGCAGAGCTGAGCCGAGGCCGTGGGGGGGTGAAGTGTGATAAAGATGTAAGCAATGCAAAACGAGAAAAACTGTGAATGAGCAGTTGTGGAGGGGGTTATGGAAGCGCTCACACCGGCACTGTGGCACACCCATCTTTTAGGAAAACAAGAAGCCACCAGCGTGGCCAGGTCTGGCTGCTTCTCGGCATTTTGTTTGTTAACGTTTCTAATCACAGGAAGTGTGCGCTCCTTGTGCACATCAGTGAAGCCCAAGGCCCGAGCGGAACCTACAAGTGCCCAGGCCAGCGGGCAGGCAGCTCGGGGCGAGGCCCTGACGGGTCTGAGCGTCGCCTTGGCCTGATGGGTGGTCTCCGGAGGCTGCGGGCGCCGTGGCCACAGCCAGCCTCGTGTGGATGCTGAGGCCTCGTCTGCCCTTAGCCCACGTGTGTGCGCAGCGGGCTTCCCGTGACCCTCTCGGGGATGTCAGAGGTGAGGGTCTCGTGAAGAGTGAGGCTGGATTTTCAGAGATGAACCGGCTTCATAGCAGCACTTCCCTAGCTCAGCCCGGGTGGCCTGGGGCCTCCTTGCTGTCATCCCACACTCTGTGCCATCCAAGAGTCATTACTGTGAAACCCCGTCCCCCGGAGCCGCGGGGACAGGCACTGCTCCAGAGAGAGGGCAGCCGCACCCCTTCCAAGCACTGCCCGGCCTCGGCGCTGTCACCGAGGCAGAGGGCTGGGGAGCGCCCATCTGGGCACCGCCTCTCTCCTGCACCCCATTTCCTCGCCTACACGATGCGCACAGCAGTGCTTGGCACACAGAGGAGGGCTGCAAGCAGGAAGCCAGCTGGCATGTGTGTGCGTACATGCGTGCATGCATATGTGTGTGTGTGTGTGCACATGCGCTCAGTAGCCAGCTGTGGTAACAGGGTCACAAGTGCTGACGCCACGTCGCTCAGCAGGGACCGTGACTATCATGATCGCTTCACCGAATCCCCCTGCTCCCGTGTGCGGAGCGCAGAGCTGAGTGCGGGGAACCCGTGAGCTACCCACTGCCTGAGCCCGACGGGCTGGCTGCGCTGAGACTGTCACAGCGACGCCAGCTCCGGGAGCCCAGCCTGGCAGGCGCGGGAACGGCTGTGACCAACGCCTGGCAGCGCTGGTCACGCGCAGAGAGGGCAGAGTGGGGAGCAGACCGAGGGGACACGGCACCAGGAGCTGACTTCCCGCTGGGCCTCACCTGGCCAGATGCTCCGCCGTCAGCCCCGGGCAGAAGGAGTGCAGCACCTTCCTGAGGTGGCTGGCCCGGATGAGCCCCGAGTCTCCGCAGTCGTAGGAGCACAGCAGGTCGTAAAACGCCAGCAGGTTCCCGCGGACGGCGTCCTGCACCATCTCTTCCATCTGAGAAAACACGCCGCCACAGGCTGCAGGCCGTGGCCTGGGGGAGCACCCGAGACCACGGAGGGAGGGGGCACCCTGGGACCACAGAGAGAGGGGGCACCCTGGGACCATGGAGGGAGGGGGCACCCGAGACCACGGAGGGAGGGAGCACCCGATACCACAGAGGGAGGGGGCCCTGGGACCACGGGGAGGGGGCACCCTGGGACCATGGAGGGAGGGGGGCCCTGGGACCACAGAGAGAGGGGGCCCTGGGACCACAGAGGGAGGGAGCACCCGAGACCACGGAGGGAGGGGGCCCTGGGACCACAGAGAGAGGGGGCACTTTGGGACCACAGAGGGAGGGAGCACCCTGAGACCACAGAAGGAGGGGGCATCCTGGGACCACAGAGGGAGGGGGCCCCTGGGACCACGGAGGGAGGGGGCACCCTGGGACCACAGAGGGAGGGGGCATCCTGGGACCACAGAGGGAGGGGGCCCCTGGGACCATGGAGGGAGGGGGCACCCTGGGACCACGGAACTATGGCGAGGGCACTGGGACTACGGAGGAGTGCCCTGGGGCCACGGGGGAGGGGTGCCTGGGACCATGGAGGGAGGGAAGGGTACTTACTGAGTCCCAGACCGGCTGGTGTGGTGCCTGGCTGTCCCCCCCGGAGGTGGGCTCCCCTATCTGCGTGGCAGAGAAGGGAAGGGAGTGAAAACGGGTCACTCACAAGGGCAGGCGGAGCTCTGAGCCCAACGACGATGGCCAGCCTGCCGGTCAGCCAGCGGCCGTGACACTGAGCAGGTAAGGCTGCCCTCTGACCCCCGGAAATGGGAACCAGAACCCTGGCCTGGCACTTATTTTTAAAAAGCACAATAATCCTGAACAACTCCATCAGCTAGAGACGAGTAAGTGCGGAGTGAAGGAACACCGGGTGGCGTCTCTGCCTGTCCACGTGGTGAGGATGGGAGAGCAAGCGCAGGGCCGTGTGGCCGGAGTGACTCCCCGGGTGACAGGCAGACGGGGGCAGCGCCGCTCCGCAGCCAGGGAGTGGAGGACACTCCCTCTTCACGCAGTCCCTCCCGTCGTCCGCAGTCTGTGCGTTACACACACATTCCTCTTCAAAGCCATCGTAATTTAAAATGAAGTATACACTCTTTGACCCAATAACTTCATCTCTAGAAGCTCACACTAAAGGAATAACCAGGTGAAGCTAAGAAACAGGCGCCCCGACAGTCATTGAAAGAGGACACCCGGGGAGCAGTGACTCTGCCTTTAAACACAACAGGACTGGCGCTGTTAACGATATGTTAATAAGTGACAGCAGACTGAAAAGGCTGTGATCTCATTTTAAAATGAAATAGATTACCAGGTATGGAAGCTTGTATCCAACTCATCAAATTCTATACAGTAATATATGCGGTTTCTTGCAGCTTTATTGAGGTGTAATGGTAATTATAACTAAGCTGCAAAAAAAAAAAGGTGTGTGTGTGTGTGTGTGTGTGTGTGTGTGTGTGTGTGTGTCAGTATGGAGGTTTGGGAGGATAGGTGTGGGTAACGCGTCTTCGAGGTTAGAAGTAGTGGTGGCTTTTATTCTCTTCTGTCTCCATATCTGTTTTCTGATTTTCCGAATGATTCAGTCTCTCGCTGAGTCGTTTTGTGAGTGAGCCCAGCGCCGGCTCCCCTGCGGGACAAGTCACACGAGACTGCGACTGGTGTGGGAGATCGAGGGCCACAAGAGGGGCTCCTTCAGGGTTGTTGGGGGTCCCTGGGAGGGCCTGAGACACTGGGACCTGCAGAATGGCCTCACGAGGTGGGAGGAGCAGAAGGAGGTGTAGCAGGAGCCCCAGCAGGTGCAGAGGCTGGAGGGGGTGCAGTTGACAGAATCTGATTCCTACAGAGCAAAGGTCACTGCCCTCACCAGGTGGGGGGGACAGGGGGCAGATGGCTGACACGTCTATATTTCTGGTTTTAAAGAACAAAGCTGGCTCTGTGCGGGGCTGCGGTGGGGTCAGAGCTTCCACAGGTCTGCTCCCCGCGGAGTTCAGGAAAAGCTGTCATTACTCACTTCTCTGTGGGGAGGGCTCTGGGACTTTGGAATTTGAGTCTAAGAAGGACCCCGTAGCGTGGGTTTAGGCTGTGGTTACCACCTTGCACAGGGCGCCATGCAGGAAACGATAATAGGAGAATGAAAGGTTAATCTGTAGCTAATAAAGGAAATCTTACACATCTATATATATAATAGCCTAAGAGACCAAACAACTGTCCGACCGGAGGCTATGATGTGCACTGACCACCAGGGGGCAGACACTCAATGCACAGGCATGGAAAAATGGAACAGACTGATGAATCTTAGAGGGAAGGGAGTGGGGAAGAGCAGGAAGAAATTAACTGAAGATCTTATATGCATATTAGAGGCCCTGTGCATGGATTCGTGCACCAGTGGAGTCCCTCGCCCTGGCCTGGGTGGATTAGGCCGAAACCCACAGTCCAACATCCCCTGAGGGGTCCCAGACTGCGAGAGGGCACAGGCCAGGCTAAGGGACCCCACAGGTGCATGAAAGCATGCACTGGGCCTCTAGTTTCAACAAGAATCTGTTGATGTCAATTTTTTGGTAAAAAGAAACAAACACTAAGAGCCAGTGTTAGTCATTAGAGGTCACACTCAGTGATCACACAAAAGGTGAACGAACACAGGGGCTCTAACAACGGGACGGAACCCAGAGCAGCAATCGCACACGGCCTGTGAGATGGAGGGAAAGGGGCTGCTGCTGATGTCCAATGAAAACACGTTCCCTCCAGCAGGCCAAGGCGAGGCCACCCAGGGGCGGGGCCTCAGAAACTTCAAATATCCTTCAGCATGATCAAGAAAATAAAAGGCCAGCCCTAGCCGGTTTGGCTCAGTGGGTAGAGCGTCGGCCTGCAAATCCCGGCTTTGATTCTGGTCAAGGGCATGTACCTCGGTTGCAGGCTCCTTTCTGGCCTGGGCCCTGGTAGGGCGTGTGCAGGAGACAATCGATCGATGTGTTTCTATCACATCAATATTTCTCTCTGTCTTTCCCCCTTTCTCTCACTCTCTCTAAAAATCAATGGAAAAATATCCTCTGGTGGTTATTTTTAAATAATAAAATAAATAAATGAAATGAAAGAAAAGTCCAAATTGAGTAACTCTTACACACTTAATTCTGACTTGAAATGAAAGTTATCGCAGCTGAAAAGGTACCAGCGAGGTGATGAGTTTCGTTAAACCGCCCTCACCAGCACCTCTGGCTTTTCTCAGAACACGTTCCCGCCGTGCCCGTGCCCGGGACCCCGAGGGGCCGCCGCGGTGCTCACCGTCTTGCGGCCCTCCTCCAGCAGCGCCAGGAACCTGTGGATGTTCACCAGGCCCGAGCCCCGAGGGTCCAGCGTCTGCATCAGCTCCTTGAACTCTGAGTTGCTCAGCGTTACGACCATGGAGTTGATGGTTTGATGCAGTTCTTCCCCTTTTATCTGCCCGTTCACCTTCTGAGCAGGAGAGTATGTGTAAGGGAATTTTTTCAAAGAAAAAAGGAAGGAAAGCAACATACATAGAGCATCATTTAATAAACTGAGCGCTTCGGTAAATACAATTATACTATGAAACTAGAATATTGAAGTTGATCATCATTATGTAACATGGAGCTGTTAAAAGAAATCTTACACATTTCAACAAGAAATGGGGGGTGGGGAGGCTAGCACTTCGCGAGTGCAGTTCCCACAATGCTCCCTGTTAGGACAGGGGCAGGAGATGGCCCCCGGGCTGACCCCCTTCCCGGGGCAGGCTCAACGTGGCTGTCACAGAGGCTGGAATAGTCCCTCCTGCCCCAACTCCACCCAAGGGCGATAGGAACAGCTTCGGGGGACACAAACCTTCCTGGCAATTCAATTACAATTCACCAATTTGCTCAGAATATTGATTAGGCGTGTTTTCACTACCACCAACCTCATTCGTTACATGAATGGACAATTACTTAGCGAGAAAAATTTCAGCCCTGCTGCCTAAAGAAAGCATATGATGAGCAAAATACTGAGAAGAAAACTTCTTCCCCAGAATAAAAAAAATTACCAGCAAGTAAATTGAATTGGGAGATACTGTTTACTAGAAAAACAGAAAATAAAAATAAAAAACCTTGCCTCATAGATACTGTGAATATTAATGTGGCAAACAGGCTTATTAAGTGAGAAAGTGGCATATAAATGCCAGCCTTTACTTTGGCATTTACAAAATTTGAAAGGGACATGAGATTCTCTTGGGGGAAATTAAGTAATTTAGGATAGAGGCATATTTATTTTTGGGTTTGGGAGTGATCATTTTTTAGAGTCTAAACAGGACTCATCAACAATGTTTTGGTGACTTTCAATAAACTTATAGCAGTGTGCAGCCATCATCACCACTACCTATAATAATTCCAGAACGTGTTTGCCCCAAGAGAAACTGAGCTGATTCGCAATCACCCCGTCTCCACCCCCAGCCGAAGGCACCTGAGGCAAACCGCCTGCCTCTCTGCATTTGCTTTCCTCTGGACGTCCACGTAAACCGAATCTGACAAAATATGCACTCGCAGGATCTTGCACTGGCTTCCATCACTTCGCATAACGGTTTTGAGGTTCATCCACGATGCACATGTGTCGCTATTTTGTTCCTTTTTATTTCTGTTCCTATTCCCTGTATGAATATGCCTCAGTTTATCTTGTCGCAGGTTCCTGAACACTTGGGTTGCTTCCAGTTTGGGAATTATGAACAATGCTGCTTGGACATCTGCACGGAAGTCTTTGTGTGAGCATGTTTCTATTTCTCTTGGGCAGACCCCTAGGAGTAGAATCACCGGGTCATATGGCAGGTAAATTATTGTTTAAAATTTAAGAAGCTACTGCTTTGCTTTCTGCAGGGACTGCACCCTTTTACCTCCCACCAGCGGTGGGCAGGAGTTCCCTCACTACATCCTCGTCGACACGTACTATTGTCTAAGGCAGCGGTCGCCAACAACCTTTCGGACCTCACCGACCAGCGGTTGGCGACCACGCCTTAGACAATAATAATGTTGACAAGGATGTAGTGAGGGAACTCTTGTACACTGCTAGTAGGAGGGTAAGTGAGGTCCGAAAGGCTGTTGACCACTGGTCTAGGGCAGTGGTTGGCAAACTCATTAGTCAACAGAGCCAAACAGCAACAGTACAACCATTGAAATTTCTTTTGAGAGCCGAAAACCGACTTCTGCGCGCGGGCCACGAGGTTTCAATCTCACTGTACATGCGTGCCCGCATGTGTTATTTTGTGGAAGAGCCACACTCCAGGGCCCAAAGAGCTGCAGCTTGCGAATACTGGTCTAGGGGTTTGATTGTAGCCACATGTAACCAAATATGAAGTAGTATCTTACATGGTTTTGATTCGTATCTCCATAGTGTATAATCATGTTGACCATCCTTCTGTTGTTGTTGGTAATCCTCACCCAAGGAGATATTTTTTCTCCATTGATTTTTAGAGAGAGGAAGGGCGAGGGAGAGACAGATTAACATCAGTGTAAGAGAGGCACATCTATTGGCTGCTCCACATGCACCCGGACCAGGGCAGGGATCAAATAGGAAACCCAGGTACATGCCCTTGACCAGAATCAAACCCCAGACCCTTCAGCCTATGAGCTGACCCTCAAACCACTGAGAAACCAGTTAGGGCTTTGAGCATCTTTCTATGTGCTCCCTGACTATTCGTCTATCTTCTTTGTTGAATTGTCTATTGAAATCTTTGGCCCATTTTTAAAATGGGATTGTCTTCTTATTAAGGTCTAAGTGTCCTTACACCTTCTACCTACATACAGGGCCGTGGCCAGATATTTTATTTACATACGTCGCCTCCTAGTCTGTGGCCTTCTTTTCATTTTCTTAATGGTATCTTCTAGCGCACAAAAGGTTTGAATTTTAATAAATACAATTTGTTGGGGTTTTTTTTTAATGGATCATGCTTTTAGTGTCATATCTAAAATCTCTTTGGCTAACACAGGGACACAAAGATTTACGCATGTCTTCTAAGAGCTTTATCGTTTTAGCTCTTATATTTAGGTCTAGGGACCATTTGAAGTTAATTTTTATGTGATGTAAGTTAATTTGCCTCTTTGCATATGGATATCCAACTGTCTCAACACCATTTGTTGAGAAGATTATTCTTTCCCCACCACCCCCCCAAGTTTGTCAATGTGGGTGACCACGGTGTGAAGGCCTATTTCTCTCCTCTCAGTCTGCTCCGTGGCCTCTCCTCCGGCCAGTTGCAGGCTGTCCACATTACTGTGGCTTCACACGAAGAAGATTCCTAACCTCACTTCATTCTTCTTTTCCAAGATTGCTTTGGCTTTTCTGCCAACTTTCATTTCCATATGAATTTTTAAGATTAGTTTTTCAATTTCTGCCAAAAAAAAAAAAAAAAAAAAAAGCCAGCTTGGATCTTGATGTAATTTGCACTGAATTTATAGATCAGTCTAAAAAGATTTGCAATCTTTTTTTAAAAAAAAATTTAATATATATTTCTTTATTGATTTCAGAGAGGAAGGGAGAGGGAGAGATAGAGACATCAATGATGAGAGAGAATCATTGAACGGCTGCCTCCTGCATGGCCCCTACTGGGGATCGAGCCCACAACCCAGGCATGTGCCCTTGGCTGGAATCGAACTTAGAACCCTTCAGTCCGCAGGCCAATGCTCTATCCATTGAGCCAAACCAGCTAGGGCAAGATTTGCAATCTGAAAATGAGTGTCCAATCTATGTATACGGACCATCCCTCCATTGATCTTTTTTCTTTTAATAATGTTTCATGATTTCCAGTGTACAAGTCTGGTACTACTTTTGTTGAATTTGTGGCCAGGCATTTTATTCTTTCCGATGCTACTGTGAGAGGATGGCTTTCTGACACTCATTTTCAGATTGCATAACGCTGGTGTGTACAAATATAACTGAATGTTGTGTATTGATCTCATATCCTGCAAACTGAACTCACGCATTAGTTCTTGCAGCGTGTGTGTGCATTCCTTAGAACTTCCTATACAAGACCCTAAGGTGTGTGAATAAAGACGGTTTTACTTCTTCCTTTCCAATCTCAACGTCTTTATTTCTCTTCCTTTCTGATTGCTTGTCTAGAACTCCACACAATGTTGAATGGAAGTAGTAAGAGCTTCATTCTTGTGCTTTTCCTGGTCTGTAGGGAGAAGCCTTTGGTCTTGTGCCAGTGACTATGAGTTCCTCATACATGCCCTGGAGCCCGTGGGTATGTCCCTCGTATTCCTAATTTTTTAAGAGCTGTTCTCATACATGAGCGCTGGGCTTTTCAGATTCTTTTTCTTCATCTATTGAGATGATCATGCGGCTGTGTCCTTAATTCTACTCACGTTGTGTATTACATTAATTGACTTTTGGGAAGTTAAACCAACCTTGCACTCCTGGAATAAATCCCACATGGTCATAGCATTTAATCCTTTTTATATATTTCTGGATTTGCTTTGCTAATTCATGAAGGATATTGCTCTATGGTTTTCTTGTGGTGTTTTTAATCTGGCTTCCTCCTATATATCCTGAATGTCTGTGAAGGGTTGGTATTATTTCTATAGCCAATCTTTATAGTCTTCATCATAGAGAATCGCACATTGTTTGTTATGTATATTTCTAGGCATTTAATTTTTTTTAATGTGATTAGAAATGGTATTTTTAAACTTTTTTTCGAATTGCTTATTGCTGTATATAGGAATATTGTTTCTCTTTGCATATTGACCTTGTCTCTAGTGACTTTCTAAGCTCTGTTATTAATTCTCAGGTGTTTTTCAGATCTTTTAGACTTTCTATTTACAAAAGCATGTGAACTGCAAATGATGACACGGAAGGCATGAGGTGAGGAGGCAGGGCACAGCTGTCTGTGGTGACAGAACGAAGCCACGCCTGACGGAGATGTGAGGGATTGGGTGCCAGGGCGCTCTCAGCGATGGCGCAGCCTGCGGGGCAGCACACACAGCTGCCGGGCAGGACCTGGAGCAGACGCAAGCAGCCCCCTGATGACCCGCACCCTCTACGCAGGAGGGGCCACTCCCCAGGGCTGTCCCTGCAGCAGGCGAGGTCCCCACTGCTCCTCCTTGTTTCTCCCTTCAGATCCCAGAGGGGGTCAGGGCCAAGGTAAGTGGGGAGTGGGGGTGGGGAATGGGGTGAGAGTGGGATCTAGGGGGAGGGGGTGGGGAATCCCTCTCAGAAACCCTGCTCTCTGCTCCTCTGAGGCCTCGGGTGGTCACTGCTGGTCTGACACTCAGAGTGTGAGCTGGCCATGGCCAGGAACCCTGCATGGTCCGCCCTGCCCTCAGTCTGAGTGCCCACCGCAGCCCAGCATGGCGGGCACACCCTCCCTTTCACCATGCCTCTCGTCTGAACAGCACGCCGCCAGTTCGCATTATCACAGCCCTCCATCAGTAGAGAAGCAGATGCACTATTTTTAATTAAAATTGCTTCTTCAATTTATTAATAGAAGCGGCATTCACAAAGCCTTCATTTATCTTTAAGGGGCGGCTCTGGAGCAGCCAGTTTGGAGGTGTGAATCCTGGCCCGCACTCACCAGGGAGCCTCAGGCCGTCACCCCCTGCGCCCTCCTCACCGATGGGGACGAAGCCAAAGGACACGGGAGACAGGACAGCCCCTCACGGAGCTGGGAGGCTGCACGGTGACAGCTGGCACCGGGCACACGCTAAGCGCCCACATTGCTGCTCAGTCAGGCGCCAGGTCAATGCGGCCTCGAGGTCAATCACAGGAACGCCAGCGAAGATGTCCCCGTGGAAAACAGAACCCCAACGCTGCGCCCGGAAGCCCAGCACAATGCACGGCCCGGAGGACAGACTGAGCAGAGGGGCTCGGTCGCCAGGACAGAGGGCACCGCCCACCAGAGGGCCCTGTGGTCTCCGGGCTCCGAAAGGCTGATGTGGTGCCCAACTGGTGCCTCGGAGGAAAAGGGATTCACGGCGGTGCTGGCGTCTGGTAGGGACTCGGTTTCTGAGTGTGCTCAGTAAAGAACGACCTTGAGAAATGTCCCTTAAGTATCAAAACTACCCCGATGCCGTGCCTCTCAAATGCACATCACAGCGAGATGGCTAACGTTTAGGGTGAGGTGCACGCTCATCAATCCGCTCCCCCTGCGGGACAGCCGCCTGGCAGAGCCCCCTGCGGGACAGCCACGGCTATGCAGGCAGCTTTGCAGCTCATGTTCCTGCTGAGCCACAAGCATCGGATGTGAGCCCTAAACTCTAGGCTGAGGGGGCACTCATGGGCCTGGGCTACTCATCGATCCAGCAGCCCCTCCACTCTCAGCGGCCTGGCCATGCCCTGTCCGCGCCCCTGTGTGTCCTCCTGTGTCATAATAAATGTTATGTCTTTGGTCCCCCAACTACCCCGACTCCGGAGGCCAAGCCATGGGCTCCTAAGCACTCCGAGCGATCCCCAGCATACCCGGGGCTCCAAACACACGTGCTGGCCTAGCCAGTGTGGCTCACAGGCTGAAGGGTCCCGGGTTCGATTCCGGTCAAGGGCACGTACCTCGGTTGCAGGCTCGATGCCCAGTCCTGGTCGGGGCACATGCAGGAGGCAACCAATCGATGTCTCTCTCTGTCTCTCCCTCTACCCTTCCTCTCTCTAAAATCAATGAGAAATACCCTCAGGGGAGGAGTGACAGCACAGAAGGCACCGTCTGTTGGCGGGTAAGTGGGTGCACACCCAGCTGCTGCTGGCCTGGCTCCGGCCAGCCCCCTGGCAGCCTCGGGAACAGTGAGTCCCTCACAGAGAAGGGCCTCGAACCCTTACCATGTTGTCCATCAGCAGCATCTTCCGCAGCAGCCTGTAGTGGTCGTCTCGTCGGAATAACCTGGTGATAATGTTTTCCCCGCTACACTGACTTTTAGAGATGGTGCTACAAGAAGATTAAGAGGAAAAATCAGAAATAGAATCCTGTTCTTGACTAAGATTTGCTCTTACATAATGCAAAACAAAATTCTAAACCACCCTCACGGCAGCTGTAACGATGGTGTCCCCGTGGACAGCTTTCCTGACAGCGCAGGCGCGGCTGGCCCGGCGGCTTCGGGCAGGGTGACTCCCACAGGGCGGCGGGCGCGTGCAGCTGCCAGGGTTTGCTCTGCTGAGCCAGTGTGTCCCTCCCCGTGCCCCTCTGCCCTCTGCCTGTGCCAGCCTTCTAGCCAGTCTGTGCCCTGGCTGGTGCAGCTCAGTTGGCTGGACCATCAGCCTGCACACTGCAAGGCTGCGGGTTCGAATCCTGTTCAGGGCATATGCCGAAATTGTGGGTTCAATCCCGGGTTGGGTGATCTGTTTCTCTCTCTCTCTCTTCCCCTCCCTCTAAAAATCAATAAACATATCCTCAGACAAGAATGGAAAGACCACAATCACCGGGGTGTGTGCGGGAAGAAACCAATCGATATGTCTCTCTCACATTGATGTTTCTCTCTCGCTCTCTCTGCCTCCCCCCCTTCCTTCCACTTTCTTTGAAAGTCAATGAAAAAATAACCTCAGATAAGGATTAACAAACAAACAAAAGAGAAAAGTCATGAACTCATAGAGGTGTACCCCAGGAATGGGGGAAAGGGGTTCTGAGCACTGAAGGCCGGCGTGGGCTCTTCATCAGGAATCCATGACCCCGCGGGCGGCCCGGGCGCCGGCGGCAGTGGAGACGGTGCTCGGGGCGCTGGGCTCAGAGGCCGCTCTCCCTGAGCCTCACACGCCGGACGGCACATCGGTGTGAACCGCCTCCTGAGAGCGCAGCTGGATCCTAAGGCGCCGCACTGCATCGTGGGCCCACCGCCCCTGATGCCAACGCAGATCCCCGTAATGCCAGGCAGGGAGCGAGGCAGCAATAAGGGCTCATGGGCCCGGTCCCCGTACCCTTCATGTCTGCACAGTGCAGGGAGGGCAGCGACTCAGTTACCGGTGGCATCGCTTTCCCTGTCATACCTAAGACATGCGTGTCTGTGCCCATTTCACACGGATACTTGGAGCGCGGGTGCGTGCAGCGTCTGCCTCTGCGGCTCTCTAAGCATGTGACCTGGCCAGCCGCCCCACAGCCGCGTCTTTCCATCTAGACACTGGAGCAATAGCTACACCCACCTCTAGGGATGAGGCGGTTCTGGCAGCATGTATAGAGCATAACTGACGAACTGGAAGTCACTCCGTCAAGTCCATATTGTTCATGCAGACTCATTTCCCATCAGTACACGAGGAGCCAGGAATTTAGACATCCTCCAACCCTGGCATGCTCTGACACGTTAACTAAAAGGCAGAGGTTACATACCTGTCCTTTCTGGCCGGGGCATCTGAGCTCGGAGCCTCCAACCACTGAGGGTCCTGCATCAATGTCAGAAACTGCTTCCAGTAGACTCTGTTGGTGGTTTTGAGTCCAAATCTGGGTTAGAGAACGTTTTAGACATTATTCCTGTAACACTGTTCGGATTAGATGTGCAATACTGAATTTTAAATGGCAGCAATGCATTTCATAAAGTTTACCCTGGAAGGTAAACAGAATAATTCGGTCCAACAGGACTACAAAGAGATCTTTTAAAGCAAAGAAACCCAAACCGCTTCCACACGTCGTGCCCGTGTGCCATGCGCAGGCGCTGGCGCTGGGGGAAGAAGTGAAGGGGGTTGTTAACACTCCACAGCCGGAACCGGCCTTCCAAACGCGCCACGGAGGGCTCAGGCTGGGGCGGGCAGAGGGAAGGCCCTGTGCCACCGCCCGCTCTGGCTCTGGGAGGCACTGGGATCTCACGGGGCAGAAAGGGTGGAGGTGACTGGGGATGTGGACATGAGGCAGAAGAGCATCCTGAGGTGCCAGTGGGCCAGGCTAACCCTCTCCTGTGTGTGAGAGGGTGGGGGAGTGGGGGTGGGGGGTTGGAAGGAGCAGAGCTAACAGGTAAGAGAGCCCCACCCGCCTGGAGGGTGGCATCCTGCTCAGTCATGCCCGCCCCCGCTGCCCTGTTACCCACTCAGTGCCCTCTGTGCCTCCACAGCAGCCGGAGGCCCTTGAGCAAGGGCGTGAGATGCCAAGTGCCCGGCACTGACTGTTCTCCTGAGGACCAGCTGGGGGCGCCGGGAGAGAGCAAGTGCGCGTGCGTGCCCACAACCACAGCCCCATCCCCTCAGCCCCCTCCCAGGGGTCACAGGAGCCCTGCGCAGAGGGTCTCCTTCTGCTTCAGGGGGGAGCTGCGGAGGGGACCCGCGGTTGGCCGAGGTGGAGAGCAATCGCCCTCATCAAAGAGGAGGATGTGTGGTCCGGAGGTGCCACCCACACGCCCGGCGCAGGCTCCCCGGGGAGGGACACCATCCGGCCCTGGGGGGCAGGGTGGCGGGGTGGCTTCCCATTCGGGCAGCGTGGGCAATTAGAACTCTCCAGTGCCCGGAGGAGCCAGAGAACAGTTTCCCAATGAGGCAGGAAGCGAGTGCACAGCGGGGAGGGGAGCAGCAGCCCAAGCCCCTGTTCTGGCCGCGCCAGGCCCTGACGGGGCGAGGCAGGTCCAGTGTAATCGGACCCACAGCGGACTGCCCTGTGGGGATGGCTCCCACCGGTGCTAGTCCAGACAGACAGACAGACAGGCAGACAGACAAGGCGAGGTCTCTCCGCGCTTAGCCGGGGTGGAGAGCAAGGCCAAGGGCGTGAGATGGAGGGACGGCGGGGGACGAGCTAGTTTCTTTAAGGTCACAGCCCACAAGTCTCGCCAGCTCAGCTCAGGTTACCCGTGCGCCACCCACCCAGCTGTCCACCCGTCGGAGCGTCCGCACGAGAAGCCGAGCGTCCCTCTCTTTCACTCCAATTACTGCCCCAAGCCCGACAGGTCAGGGTCTCGCTCGCTCGCCTTCCCCGGGAAGTCTCCGTACTGGACCGGCCTGCTCTTTCTGAAGCACCTGTAGCAGATTCCTCTCTTCCGTCTCTCCACGCCCTCCACGCTCGTGGTAAGACCGAAGTCCTCCCGTCACTCAGCCCACAGCCGGGCCCTGCCAGCATCTTGGCCTCCTCCTGCAGGCCACCCCTGCTGCCCAGCGCCAGCCACAGGGCCCTCCCGTCCGTCAGGGGCTCTGCTCCGCCCGTCCTGGCTCCCCTGACCTCGCCTCACGCCTGGCTTCGCCTTTTCCTGGAAGGCGTGGAAGCAGAAGAGTCTTGGGACAGAACTGGAGCTGTGTCCCGGTCTGCTGTCCCACTCAGACACGCGGGCCGAAGGGCTCGCTCTGCTGGCAGCTCCGCGGCCATGCGTGGGAGCAGCGCCAGCATACGTTCTCAGCAGGAGAGGTTCTGGGGGAGGCCCGCTCTCCCTGGATGGACCGAGAGCTCCGTCTCCGGTGAACCGAGTCCCACAGCGTTTACCCCGCCCTCCTGCTCCCCTGAACCCGCTCTCCGGCCTCCCCTGGCCGCTAACAGGCACCTGGTGAAGACGAGGCGGGGGACACGACACTGAGAGCACAGCGTGCTGGGCATAAAGGTTGCGTCTACTGCTCCATTAAAAATACTCGGCAAACAGCTTTTCAAGGCTCCGAACCATTATTTGGAGAAGATTTTATGCCTCATTACCAAGCTGTTAGTGTTTTAAATTTAGCTCTAGACCCTGAGTAGTTAAAAGAACAACACACTTAAAAAGATGCCTATTGCCCATTCTTAAATTGGATATCAGAATAATTTCTCACGTCGTTTTGTTAGGCATGGGAGATGAGATTTCATTTTGCTTCCTTCTTTATTGTTTCCTGCATTACTGGCCTTAAAAAAGCATGAGTTTTTAAATCTCACTTCTTAAGTGAAAGTGCAATAAAATGGACGTTGGCTCTCCGAGTGGTTTCATGAATTTTAACTTATCTACAGAGATGCCTCACTTTACTGAGCTTCACGAATTTTGCGTTTTTACTCATTGAAAGCGAGAAGATCCTGACCTGCTTTATTGCGATGCTCGCTTTATTGCAGTGGTCTGGCACGGGACCCCCCATCACCCAGGTGTGTCCGTGCAGATGCGTAGAACCCCGCGCTCAGGTGCAGAGGGGTTCCCCTGCCCACAGCCTCCCTCACCTGCCCTCTGAGGTCGCGCCCGCCCAGCCCCTACTTCCCTCCCAGCCCCTACTCTCCTCCCATCTCTCCTCCGTCCCTCCCTCCGGACCAGAACAAAGAGGAACACCAAGGCAGGGCCCCTGGGTGCTCACTGTGACACTAGTCCCAGCTCAAGCTCATTTTCCTGGGCCAGTGCCTTAGTGCAGACCCCGACAGACTCTCTCTCAGGAGGCCACCTGGTTAGTGCTAAAAAGTGGTGATGGTAGATTACCTATTTGGAAAAATAATTTAATTTGGATACCACCTTATGTCAGAATGGATTATAAATGTTTTGTTTTGTTTTCAAAGAATAAAAATAGCAACAAAAAAACAAGCAGTGTAGAAAATGTGTTGTTTTTTTTTCCAAGCCTGGGTAGGAATGCTGTATTTACATATTTTTAAGCCACAGAAGACTTTGCAAAAGAAGATTCCTATCTGTGATTATATTAAAACCAGAGGCCCCGTGCACTGAGAAGGAGGTCTCTCAGCCCAGATTTCTAGAGGGCACAGGCCAGGCCGAGGGACCCCACTGGTGCATAATAGAGGCCGGGGAGGAATGCGGGAGGTTGGCCAGCCCAGGAGGGACCATGGGAGGGCTCCAGGGAGTGTCGGCCTGTCTTATTCAGTCCCGATTGGCTGGACCTGAGTAGCAAGCTAACCTACTGGTCAGAGCATCTTCCCTGATGGTCAGCGCATGTCATCGTGACTTGTCAACCAGTCGACTGTCTGCCCCCTAGGGTCGCGTCAATGTCTGTGACAGCAACCTTAGCATATCATTAGCATATTACACTTTGATTGGCTGAACAGATGGTTGGACATTTAGCATACTAGGCTTTCATTATATAGGTTGAGAACTTTGACCCGAAGAGCCTATCATGCAACTGAGGGAAACAGCAAGCGGGGAACACCACGAGAGGACCAGGAACCAACACCTTCTAGGTCCTGTGAAGATTGCCTCTCAAACACGCGTTCTGCTTAGGCCTGGCAGTCGGACATCCCCCAAGGGCTTCCGGACTGGGAGAGGGTGCAGGCCGGGCTGAGGGAACCTCCCGAGTGCACGAATTTCATGCACTGGGCCTCTAGTAAGAACATATTATTTTCAAATCAGGTAAGGGCGTTATAAAAGTCAGAGGGATTAAAAGGTATCTATATACTTCTAAAGGGAGCACTGACCAGGAAGATATGACAAGTCTTTACTTCCAATACACGCACCAGAGGACAAACCTAATTTAGGACTCAGCACTAAGCCGCTGGCATTCACCTTGCCACGGTCACTGGGAAGTCTGGGTGAATGCGGGAAAAGGCACAACTCAGGAAACCAAGTCACTGGCTGGAAGAGGCTGTCCCGGGAGCACGGCGCTGGCCGCGGTGGCCTCTACTACCCTCACTTCCCACCACCACGGTCTCCCCGTCACCACCACCATCTCCCTGCCCACCACCCTGGTCGTCACGCTGATTTCCGCCTCCTTAGCCCCCCACGATGTCTGGCAGAGAGAAGCACTCAATCTATATCCATTACATTTACAACTGGAGGACCACACGGCTGTATGAAGGATGTCTGTAATATGCATTCCTATTTTAAAGCATAATATGAAATGGAGACACCCCCGGATTACAAATACGTGGAAGTTAGAGATGCATGCAGACGCAAAGCAGAAGAGAGCGTGGAAAATGAAAGCAGTAAATCTGCTACATGAGGTAGACAGACTCTGGCATTGATCTTCCTTGCTGCTACTAAACTGCTACTTGTAAAATTTTGAAAATGAACTAAAAAGAAATGTCTGTATGACGTTCCATTGTCCAAGGAGGCAATCCCACAGCGTCCTCGCTCCCAGGGCCAGGCCGCGCCCTCCGCTGGGGGAGCCAGCGGCCGCTTGTGGCCACTCTGCACACACAGGGCGCGGAGGAGGAAAGGGGTGCGGTGGGAAATGACACGCTGGCCTGGCTTAGCACCCCCTCTTCCTCTTCATCTCCTCCCCTGGGCCTTTCTTTTTAGGTCCCCGCAGCGCCCAAGCTCCGTAAGACAGTCTTCCCACGAGCCTCCACCCGGGCTCCCCTGAGGAAGGTCCCTGGTTCCTCCCCCAGAGTTCGGTCTCCACACTCCACTCCCAACAGGAAGGAACGGATCCTGGAGAAATGGCCGATTCCAGGTCGGGGCCAAGAGATGACCGAGGAGCCAGGAGCACGTGTCCAAGGGTGACAGCAGCCGACTCAGGGCCGACGCGAGAGGCTCCCCACCGACCCCAACAGAGCAGACGGAGTACCAGTGGGATGACATCCGCAGCAAATCGAAGCGGGTTTCTTTTTTCAAGAAACATGGCTCTCTGCTCCAGGAGGGTTCAGGAAGCCCCGGGTCTCCTCCTTTCTTAGGCTGACGGGCCTCTCGTCGCCGTCACTGGGGAGGGGGCGCGCTCCCTGCAGAAGCAGCCCCACCAGCAAGAGCGGGAGGACCCATGGGGAAGGCACCGCTCTGCAGACCCTGGACCGAGTGTGTGCACACCAGTCCGGGCATCGCGGACGCACCCATCGCCATGAGACAAGCAGTTATGAAAAATTCTTGTCCCCGAACCGGACGGACGTGGGTCTACAGACCTATCAGCTCCTGGCGGGCTGGGGGGAGAGCGCACTGACTGTCACTGCGGGCGCCACCGGCAGATTCCTGTCGTAAGGAAGTCCTCGTGGCGAACAGCGCGGCTCCTGCACGCCCTGGGGATGTGAGCGGACGGAGAGGGGCCCAGCGACCGCAGAGAATCGTGGATCGGGACTCAAATGCACGTCAGAAAAGCAAACAGGCCACATCCGAGCCCTGCCTGGGTGCTTGTCACCATCGATAACTCTCCCAGGGGTGGAAACGTGCTTTCGTGTTTCTCAGGAAGAGGAAGAAGGGGTGTTAAGCCAGGCCAGCGTGTCATTTCTTTCGGAGATCTTGCCAGCGAGATGTGATGCCTGGTGTTTGTTTCAAAATCACCCGGGGCTGAGGGCGTGGGGACCTGAGCGCATAATTCCCACGCGTGTTTGATTCTCAGCGGCGCCAAGTCCCCGGCGTTCAGTAAGAACCAAAGAGGCCTCCGCCCCCTCGGGCTGGGTGCGAGGGAAGACGCTGGGAAGCAGGGACTCTCACCTCTTCATCAGCGGGATGAAGACCCTTCTCGGCAGCTCGAACACGAAGGAGTCGAGGACGATCTTGAGGTAGTTCAGGGAGATGTAGCCGCACTTGGAGGGGTCCCCGGCGCTCAGGGCCTTCTCCACCTTGTCGCGGCACTTGGTGAACTGCAAGGGATTAAAACGAGAGCGCAGCATGCAGACCCCACCTCACAGGGGCACAGCCTCTTCCCCCTAAACCTCTGCCCACTTTCCTCTCCGACAACCTGGCAGCAAGGGGCGCGGCAGGTGCTGCAGCGCAATGTCTAACCGCTGAGCTCCTGCAGGTCAGGGCCCGCTCCCAGCTGCTCGCTGCGGGCAGACAGGCTCCCGGGACCAGCAGCGCCCGGAGCAGCGCCCCGCACACAGGCTGAGGGCAGGCGGGCCTGCCAGGCTGATGGATCTAATCCCCATCCTTCCCGCTGCGCACACCCCTCCAACCTCCCCCTTCCCCGCTCCCCTGACTAGGATCCATCACACAGAAAACGGCCACCTCTCATTAAAAATGCTTTACAGGGAGGAGCACCACCAAGGACTCAAACCGCACACTGGACATTCCGCTACTCTTCAACGAGATTACAGAGGACGGGGTGAACAAGCTTCGCTTGTGAGACTCAGCAAAGGCAGTGAAGGAGGTTAACCAGCGAGTTAGCCTGTGCCTCATTAAGCACTCCGGAGACGGGCTCTCCTGCTCTTTCCTGCTGAGGGATAAATATCCTCCAGCATTTCCAACCCTCTCGGCCTGCCCCATTTCCGTCCTTCCTGCTAGCCAGGGTGAGAAGGTGGACACACTAGCCACCGGCGAGGTGTGGAAGGTGACTTCAGAAAAGCGGCCGGGACATGGAGACATATGAACAAGAAGAGCTGTCCAGAACCTGGGAAGCGCTCAGGAGAACTCCCGCAGTGCCCGGGACTCTCACACCAGGGAAGCTCCGGAAATGTCAGAGAACCACAGGCCCAGGCTTCTTAGAAGGTTGTGTAACTTTCACCCAAAACGTGGCTCAGTCTGCACGCCTCCCTCAGGGAGGTGGGTGCTGGGAAGGCCCCAGGAGAGCCGGACGGAGCCACGAGACACTGTCGGCATCCTCCTGGCATCTGGTCCCCGATGAGGTTTGTGTCCGGACCGGCTCTGACATGGGCGTTTTTCCAGAAAGAGCGGGGAGTGAGAAGAAAGGGGATCTCCGACATGCCTAGCCTTTAGGATTTCATCGTCACTCTTTGTAGAGAAGCACAGGATGAAAAAGCAACCGTTCAGCAAAGCGCGGGAGGATGGGCGAGTCGTGGGCGTCTCAGCACCCGGTCTCAGAGCCCCACGCGGCAGCACGGAGCGGGCAGCGCTGTCCTCCAGGCGGCCATGACCTCCGGGCCCGCGGGGGGCGCTTCCTGCTGGGCAGCCGCCGGCACCGGCTTCCCAGCAAGGATGGGCATCACACTCCACGCGGCACGTGTGGGCATCACACTTTCACACTGCGCGGGGCACCGGCCACGTGTGGACCGAAAGCTGGGCCCGTTCCTGTTCACACGTTCACTCTGGTTAGGTGTTTCCTGATCCCCCATCCAGGTGCGGCCCCTTTAGTTTCTCATAGCGCCCTCCTTTACTGTCACCCCTCAGGAGCAGTGATGTGTGTGTATTTTTTTTTTTTTTTTTGTATTCATGAGTGTGTGTGTTTGTGAGTGTGAACATGTGTGTGAATGTGTGAATGTGTGAGTGTGAACGTGTGTGTGGGAATGTGTATGTGAGAAAGTGGGAGTGTAAATGTGTGAGTGTGTGAATGTGTGAGAATGTGAGTGTAAATGTGTGTGTGAATTGTGTGAATGTGTGTGAATGTAAATGTGACTGTGTATTGTGTATGTGAATGTGTGAGAATGTGTGAGTTTAAATGTGTGTGTGTGAGTGTAAGTGTGTGTGTGTGTGTGTGTGTGTGAGTGTGTTTGACACCTCTCTCCCGGGGGCACCATCATGCCACCTTCCTGAAAGCAGAGACTACGGCTGCTTTGTTCACTAATAACCGCCTAGAATGAGGCAAAATTTGGCAGGAAGTAGGCAAACTCATTAAATATTTGTTAAAAATGGTTTTTTTCACCAAAAAGGATCCGGGGCATTGCTGCCCAAAAGCCACTTGGCACAGCCGTTTTTAAAGCGAAGCGGGAAAGCGCGGCTGAGACGGAGGATGTGCGCCCACGTCAGTGCTGGCGAGCCGAGGGACAAAGGCACTGCCAGGCTGCGGGGTGGGCACTGAGACCTGGGAACAGGCTGGCACTGCCATGGCTGAGCAGTGTGTGCCCCACACCTCGCCAACCCCTGCACTCCGGCGTGACTCCCAGAGCGCCTTCTGCAGCGCGGGGACGGCCCGGCCACATGGGGGCAGCGAATGAGTCAGCATAGACGGGGCGTCCGGGTGTCAGTGCCAAGGGGAGTATGTGCCATGTGGTGTAGGTGACGGGAGTGCACGCTCTGTGCAGGTGTGGATGTTTCTCATCGATGTTTCTAACTCTATCCCTCTCCCTTCCTCTCTGTAAAAAATCAATAAAATGTATATTTTTAAATGTATGGTTCTCTCCTTAGAAAAGTGTTTCTATGATATTTCCACCTACCCACCCACCGACAGAGCCATCCTTCTATGTCTGTGAATCGAGACAGGCCTAGAATTATGTTCGCCAAATGTTGGCCTTTGATTATTGCAGGGTGGCAGATTCTGAATAGTTTATTACTTTCTTCTTTGTACTTTTCAGAATTGCTTCCATTTATGATTTGTAATACTCACATGTTTTGATGAAACCAATAAATTCATTAATAACTAAAGCTTCACCAAGTGACCAAGAGTCTATTCAGTGCTCACTTCTTTTCTTGGTTTTTCCTCACTGACAATTGCCTGCTGAAAATTCTCTCTCAAAAATTGGTAAGGGTGGCTGAAACCGGTTTGGCTCAGTGGTAGAGCATCGGTCTGCGGACTGAAAGGTCCCAGGTTCAATTCCAGTCAATGTACCTTGGTTGCGGGCACATCCCCAGTGGGGGTGGTGCAAGAGGCGGCTGATCAATGATTCTCTCTCATCAATGTTTCTAACTCTCTATCCCTCTCTGTAAAAAATCAATAAAATACATTTCTTGTTTTAAATTGGTAAGGGTGCTAGTATGTGAGGAGCAGTTATTGCTTACCTCTTGTTTATGGGCACACTTTTCACCAAGCTTATCATTTGTTTATATACCAAGTGTTGCTATGGAGAGCCTTTTATTTCAATGTAGTATAATTAATCTTTTTCTTTATGGTTTTCTTTACTTCACATTTAAAGCCTACTAAATGTCAATCTTAAAATGTTTCACCCACATTATTTACTTTTAAATTCAAACAGTGGATGCATATAGAATGTATTTGGGTGTGAAGAGTGGAAATTTATAGCTTTTTCCCCACAAATGGCTAGAATTATCCCAACAATGATTAGTGAATGTTCCACTTCCCACCCCTCCACCCCTCAAATCATAAGCTGAAGTCACAGCGAAGACTGCTCTGTTATCCAACTACTGTTTCAAATTGCTTTGCATGTCCACTAGTGGCCCAGTGCTGTGCCGCCTTCACTATTCCACCTTCATAAACTTTCACACGTGTGTGGGAGGATACGTCCTCCATGGTAACTTCCACAAGAAAAGCTTCTCATCGGGAGAGCAGGCATTCATAGCGGACCTTCCAATCCAAGAACCTCTTTACTTATGCAAGTTCCCTATATTTTATTCAATAAAGCTGTATCATGTTGTTTTCATCCTCACCGGAGGATATGTTTTTATTGAATTGAGGGGGGGGGGGGGAGAGGGAGAAAGAGAAGGAGAGAGAGAGAGGGAGAGAGAGAGGGAGAGAGAGAGGGAGACAGACATGGGTTGCCTCTGGATCGGGGGTCGAACCCGCCCCTTTGTGGTGCCCAGGATGATCCTCCCACCAGCTGAGCCCGGGCCAGGGCAGCTGCACCCTGCTTTCATATGTCCTAAACAGTTCTTATAGATTCGGTGTGAGGAACAAAAGCAGGCACTTAATCCCGGCCTCCTCACCATTCCTGTCCTCCATGTGCTACCGTTAGGAGGGGACGGGGAGGTAGAGTTTGGGGGGTGGAGGTAGGAGCAAACCTAATGTTAGCACCGGCGTCCCACCTCGTGGTGTTGCCCACGGTCCCCTCCGCCCACACCGGAGAACACCTCACCTCCTGGCAAAAGGCCCTCCCAATTTCTTCCAAGGAGTGCTCCCCCCAGTTCTCGGGTGCCTCGGAGCAGTGCAGGAGGAGGTCCCTGGGGGCGGTTTTGGCCTGCTGATTCTCCCGGGAGGCCCCTGTGAGAAGGAGAGAGCGTCAGGTGTTAATACTGTCAGAGGGACAATTAAATAGTGAATGTTTCCTTTCCATTGTAACCGGCTTGGGAGGAACTGAGGCTCAAATGCACCAACCATGATGAACTAGGCCATAAATGGTGATGAAGTAATGGGATGAACATAAAGACAAATTAATCTCTTTGTTATCTTATCCTCAGATAAACTTTAGATAGCGCCAAATGTACAGGGTAGAATAATAAAACTGTAATAATAGAAGAAAATGAAGATGAATATTACATGATACATAACATTTGTGTAAGAAGTCCTTTCTAAGGAACATTTTCAAGCCAGAAATTACTTAAATAATGACTAGGTCCAACAATATATTAATTTTTATTTGGTAAAAAATGACACACACACACACACACATAACAATGAATGAAAAATGAGTGGGGAAAACTATTGCTAATATATATGAAAAATACAGGTTAATTTTCATAATATATGAGTAGCTTTTAGAAATCAATAAGATAAATATACTCAACAGAGCAACAGGCTAATATTATAAACAGGTAATCCTACAAATATATATAAAATGGCTCAAACTAATTGGTAATTTTAAAAGTCTAATTAAAACAAGTTTGACCTATGAACCAGGAGGTCACATTTCAATTCCTGCTCAGGGCACGTCCCCGGATTGCGGACTCCATCCCCAGAGTGAGGCATGCAGGAGGCCACAGATCAATGAGTATCTCATCTTTGATTTTTTTTTTTTTATCTCTCTCTCCCTTCCCCATCCTCTCTGAAATCAATAAAAAAAATCTTTTAAAAAACACACACAGTTTAACATTTTTCTACTTGTCACACAGGCAAGGGTCAAAGGGGATGGTGAGGAACACCGGGCACAATGCAGAGCTCATCGCAGAGAACTGGCTTTACAACAAAGGCTCATCCAGCATGAAACACTGCGTGTGTGATATAAAAACAAGGGCCTGTCTAATTAATGGGTGGGGAGGCTTTCTTTGATATTTTCACTATTGAAAGAAAGGATGACTAACATCATTTAATTTTCATTTTAACACTTGTCTTTTGTATTTGCCTATGCACCTCCATCCATCCATACATTCATCATCCATCCATCCATGAATCCATCATCCATCCATCCATCCATCCATCTTCCATCCATCATCCATGCATCCATCCATCGATCCATCTTCCATCCATCCATGCATCCATCCATCCATCCATCCATCCATTCATCTATCCATCCATCCTTCCATCCATTCATCCACCCATCCATCCATCCTTCCATCCATCCATCCATCATTCATCCATCCATCATCCCATCCATCCATCCATTCATCTATCCATCCATCCATCCATCCTTCCATCCATCCATCCACCCATCCATCCATCCTTCCATCCATCCATCCACCCATCATTCATCCATCCATCCATCCATCATCCATCCATCCTTCCATCCATCCATCCACCCATCCATCCATCCATCCTTCCATCCATCCATCCACCCATCATTCATCCATCCATCCATCCATCATCCATCCATCCTTCCATCCATCCATCCACCCATCCATCCATCCTTCCATCCATCCATCTACCCATCCATCCATCCACCCATCATTCATCCATCCATCCATCCATTCATTCATCCATCCTTCCATCCATCCATCTACCCATCCATCCACCCATCCACCCTTCCATCCATCCATCCATCCATCCATCCTTCCATCCATCCATTCATCCTTCCATCCATCCATCATCAGAAACAACACTGGGAGGATAAGACACCACAAAGGACACAGTGGTAGGATTGAATAGGAGGTTACCAGGGACTGCTGTTTGTGCTTCCACGTTTCCTGCCTTTATGTTTTATTTATTTATTTTTCTCAATAAGCATGCATTGCATAATAAAAGACGATGAAATAAATGTGAAATGCAGCCGTTTTCTTTCTCCAAGCTGACTGCAGTCACAAATGGCTTCCCAGATTTACTTCCTAAAATGTCTGCAAATAAGCTGCGCTCACTGAAGCGCGCTCCTCACCGCCAGCTGCAGCTCCCAGCCCACCGCCCACAGCTCCTTCCCCGCAGAGCAGACAGACGGGAGGGAAGGCGCCACCCCAGCGGCCCGGCTGCATAATAAAACACAAGCCGGTCCTTCTGGAACGCGGGGCCTCAGCGGCGGAGCGTGGGGAACACGGGCTCTCAGACCGCACGCACAGTCTCCTGGAAGGCGGGGGAAGCCGGCCCAGAACCCGGCTGACCTGGCCGCACACTCGCGGGCACTGTGCCCTGTGCCCTGTGCCCCCGCACTCTGGACACTGTGTGCTCTGACTGCCGCTCACAGGGGCACAGCACGTCCCACTCGGACACTGTGTGCTCTGACAGCCGCTCACAGGGACACAGCATGTCCCACTCCGGACAATGTGTGCTCCGACGGCCGCTCACAGGGACACAGCACGTCCCACTCCGGACACTGTGTGCTCTGACTGCCGCTCACAGGGGCACAGCACAGCCCACTCCGGACACTGTGTGCTCTGACGGCTGCTCACAGGGACACAGCACGTCCCACTCGGACACTGTGTGCTCTGACGGCCGCTCACAGGGACACAGCACGTCCCACTCGGACACTGTGTGCTCTGACAGCCGCTCACAGGGACACAGCACGTCCCACTCGGACACTGTGTGCTCTGACAGCCGCTCACAGGGGCACAGCACGTCCCACTCCGGACACTGTGTGCTCTGACTGCCGCTCACAGGGGCACAGCACAGCCCACTCCGGACACTGTGTGCTCTGACAGCCGCTCACAGGGACACAGCACGTCCCACTCCGGACACTGTGTGCTCTGACAGCCGCTCACAGGGACACAGCACGTCCCACTCCGGACACTGTGTGCTCTGACAGCCGCTCACAGGGACACAGCACGTCCCACTCGGACACTGTGTGCTCCGACGGCCGCTCACAGGGGCACAGCACGTCCCACTCGGACACTGTGTGCTCCGACGGCCGCTCACAGGGACACAGCACGTCCCACTCCAGACACTGTGTGCTCTGACGGCCGCTCACAGGGACACAGCACGTCCCACTCCGGACACTGTGTGCTCTGACGGCCGCTCACAGGGGCACAGCATGTCCCACTCCGGACACTGTGTGCTCTGATGGCCGCTCACAGGGACACAGCACGTCCCACTCCGGACACTGTGTGCTCTAACGGCCGCTCACAAGGGCACAGCACAGCCCACTCTGGACACTGTGTGCTCTGACGGCAGCTACAGGGACCCAGCACATCCGTAAACCACATGGCAGGCCCCGGGGTGCAGGGCTGGCACCGGCACCAGTGAGCCCATCTTCCAGGCCCTGGGCAGCTACAGCTGCTGCAGCAGGCGGGCTCCAGAGCCCCTGTGCCCCATCCAGTGCCCCCCACCAGGCGGGTCCCAGAGCCCCCTGCGCCCATCCAGTGCCCCCCACCAGGCAGGCTCCAAAGCCCCCTGCGCCCCATCCAGTGCCCCCCACCAGGCAGGCTCCAAAGCCCCCTGAGCCCCATCCAGTGCCCCCCACCAGGCAGGCTCCAGAGTCCCTGCGCCCCATCCAGTGCCCCTCCACCTGCATCGACTCCAGCCTCGCTCTCTAGTGCAGCTCAGTCATTCCCGCGCCTCCCACAGGCCCTAAGTCTCCCGGGAAGGGCGCGTGCTGGTTTGAAATGGGGCAGAGAGGAAATCGAGCCAACGTCATTTCTTCATGCGCCTAAAGGCGGTACTTTCGTAAGGAAGGCGGTAGTGGCCTCCCATGACCTCACACTGCGCCTTCATTGAGAACCCCGCACAAAGAGGCTGCTTCAACGGGAGGATGTGAATTTCAATCACGAAAGTCACAGAAGAAGTTTAAAGGGAAAGCAGACATGGGGAAGATGTGATTGGGATGGTCCCTACGGCTGGGTATAGAAGGCAGGCTGGAGAGGCACGCTGGCGACGATGACCCGGCGAGCAGGCAGCAGCGAGAACTGGGCTGATGCTGCAGGAGCAGGAATTGCAGAAGAATCGCTACTACACATCTCACATTTAAGCAGATCACATTATGAGACGTGTCGTTAATTTATGTGTCCCCGATAACGCCTGCTGCTAATTATTGTCAAATGAAAAATGAGGTTTCCATGGTGAATTGAAATTGTACTATAAGACCTTCTTAAAGAGGAAAAGAGAGTAAAAAAAAAAAAAAAAAAAAAAAAAAAAAAAAAAAAAAAACAGGGGGAAATTACCAGCAGGAAACGGAAGCAGAAGGAAACCTAACACGGGCAGCCGGAAAGCTTTGCTTCCAATTGCTGTAGGTTGGCTCACACGGAACAGACTCTCCAGCCGAAAACAATGACAAACTCCGGCCAAAGCACACACAGAGAGCAGCCTGCAGGCGCTGGAGAGCAGCCGACAGGCTGGGGCTGCACTGGAAACCGCAGTGACGCTCAGTGCGCTGCTTCTGGCTGGCCTCTCGCCCAAGAGCAAGCCGCCGCCAGAAGCTTGCTGAGTGGCTGGAATTTGGAATCAACCCAGGGTCTGGCTGGGTTTCACACCAGAAAACAGCGTCAATGACCAGCACAGCATGGAGAGTAAGGCGGGAAAGCCCACAAGGCAAGGCAAAGAGGAGCTGTGACTGTCTATGCCCAGTTCTCTGGCTGCCCCCACCACAGCTGGCAGAGCAGACCACAAAGCCCAGCCCAGAGGAGACGAAGGGTTCGGTGTTAGCATGAACACCTCGGGAAGGCAGACATTAGAGGCGGACTGTAGGTAAACTGGCTGCTAAACACAAATTCTTCACTCCATCCAGGACAAATTCCCAGACATGGGGGGCAGGGCAAGGGGGGGAGGGGAGCGGGGAACAGGAAACTATGATCCATCTTCAAAAAAAATGTGATCAATAAAGACCAAACTTGAGATGACCTAAAGGTTGGAATTAGCAGGTTAAAATGTCAAAGCCTTTCACATTTTAAAGCCAGTGTTTGAGAACATAAAACGGGTGCCGGGAGCACTTGCTGTTCGGAGTTAAGCTGACACCAGACGGCAACAAGCCCTCCTGACGGACTCAATCACAGGAGGTAAACTCTGAGGCAAGACACCCCTGGCCCAGGGGGCACAGGCCCTCAAGGGGCATCTCCACCGGCATCCCTCAAACACGTGCTCGCCGGAGCGCCTGAGCCCTGCCCCTACAGAGCCAGCCACAGGGGACAGCTCTGGGCGCTGCTGACATGGCTGGGATAAAGGAAGGAAAGCTGGCCCGGCCTGCGTTGCTCAGTGTTTGAGCATCAACCTATGTGTCAGGAGGTCACAGTTCGATTCCCAGTCAGGGCACATGCCTGGGTTGTGGGCTTGATTCCTATTTGGGAGGAGAGGGGGAGTGCAGGAGGCAGCTGATCAATGATTCTCTCTCATCACTGATGTTTCTCTCTCTCACTCCTTTATCTCTGAAATCAATAAAATATTTTTTTTTAAAAGAGACACTTTTCCTTCTCCAAATTGTCAGCCTGCTTAAGCCTGGCTGTACATGACCGACATAAATGACTCAACTCTTTGCCCTTTTATAGTGAGACTAGTGGCCCAATGCACAACATTCATGCACATTAAAAGTGGATTAGAGGGCCAAAACTGGTTTGGCTCAATGGATAGAGCGTTGGCCTGCAGACCGAAAGGTCCCAGGTTCGATTCTAGTCAAGGACATGTACCTTGGTTGCGGGAACATCCCCAGTAGGGGGTGTGCAAGAAGCAGCTGATCGATGATTCTCTCTCATCGATGTTTCTAGCTCTCTATCCCTCTCTCTTCCTCTCTGTAAAAAATCAATAAAATATATATTTTTTAAATGGATTAGAGGAAATATTTTAATATTGCTATTACCCTTTCTCTATATAGAAGTGTCAGAGATGAATGGAAATTAGTAAAATGTATATAAAATTTTTCTTCCTGTCAGAGTCTGGGGTGCACCATGGGAACCAGAGTCAAGTCCCTGCTTATCCACAAGCATCTTGAAATCGTGTGAGACCCAGATCTGGCTAGCCCCACCCCCATTGGGCTAGATCTAGACCCGGCTGCTCCACCCTCAAGCCCTGCTGGGTGAGGGGCACGGCCAGGGCAGGGGATATGACCTGAGGTCCCCTGTCAAGCCTCACCAGGCAGGGGTGCAGCCCCAGGTCCCTGCCCTGGCCCAGTGCACGCAGCCTCAGGTCCCTGCTGACTGCTCATTAAGGCTCATTAAGGGAACTTGGACTCCGCTGCGGGCGCAGCCATCTTGTGTTATAGAATCCCTGCCTCTGCTGTGGGCACAGCCATCTTGTTACAGTGTGATGGTCAATTTGCATATTCTGTCTTTATTAGATAGGATTCTCCTCACCATTAAAGGAATAACATCTTCATTATCAAAAACTTTTGAAAATAAGGAAGCAGCAGAAAGAACTTCACAGCCCCGGGGACAGATCACTTAAGGACAGTCTGCATTTTGGAATTCCTTTTCAACCATTTGCTGATATTCCACAGACATTTTCCATGTTCCCATGACCTTCGTGGAGAGCATGGCCCATGGCGGCACACTGTGCAGTGCGCTGCGGCTCACTTACCTTCCTCTTGGTAGACATCCGTGTTCCTCTGCTGTTGCAGGATCCCAGGACTCCTCTTGGGATAACTCCCATATTCAAGGCCATGTCCTCAGCACAGGTCTGCAGAAGAGGACTCACGTGCCACGACTACTGACATCGTAGCCCGGTGCTTAAGAATACGTACCTAGATCTCCCAAATACTTGAGGTGTAAGTTGTTATTTATGCTGAGGTTCTTCAGAAAGGCATTGTAATCCACTGGGATGTCCTTGTTAATGCTGTAGAACTCCGCAAACCTAAAACAGAAATGCTCCTTAGTGACAGCGATGGCGAGACAGAGGACAAATGAAGCACGTCTGTTACTAAGGCACCGTCCCCACGAGGGGTGGTGCTCACTGTAACGGTGTTCTAGCTGGAGCTGGAGTTACAGTGCACCCCGGAAATGCCACCCTTTAATAAAGACAGATACTTTCAGTGAGAGCCCTCCCTCTGTCTACAGGCCTGTGCGCATGGAGGCCAACGGGGCAGGATCACCGGGGGACCCGCCCAGGGGGAAGACTCTGCCTGGGACGTGCTGGGGCGGGGGGCGCAGCCTGAGGTACCCCGTCAAGCCCCGCTGGGCAGGGGGTGAGGTCTGAGGTTCCTGGCTGGTGCTGGGGTGGAGGGCTCAGCCTGAATTGCCCCAACCCACACTGAGGGTGCACCTTGAGATCCTGTCAAGCCCCACTGGGTGGGGGGCGTGGCCTGAAGTCCCCTGTCAAGCCCCACCTGGTGGGGGTGTGGCCTGAGGCTTCCCCAGCCTGACACCAGGGCAGGGGGCGTGGCCCGAGGTCCCCTGTCAATCCCCATGGGGGGTGGGGAGGGCGTAGCCTCGGTCCCTGCTGATTGCTCCTTAGGGCTCCTATGGGAACTTGGCCTCCGCTGTGGGTCAGCCATCTTTGTGAGGAGTGACAGTCGGTTAGCACATTCCCTCTTTGTTAGGTAGGATGACAGTTTTTGAAGGTTTGGTTACATTATCTCCATATGTGATGGTTTCTATAATTATTTAATCTCACGCTGCTTCCTACACATTTAGTAATTACCACTTAAAGGTTTATCTTTCTGTTTTCTAAATTTAACAAAAATGCCCTGTGCTCCTCACAGCACACACCTTTGTTCCTAGTGATGCATCCTCTATTGTTCTCCTCGGAAATTACCCCGGGATCTGACAGCTGCCAGACTCAGTGACGAAGCCCAAGGCTCCCCTCACCCACAGGGTGTCTCCTGCGAAGAGGCTGCAGCTCGGGAACCCAGGAAGCGCCAAACGCTCCTTTTTTCAGTCGCCGAACTCTAGACGGTGTGGGCTGCTCGGCTGCCACAGGGAACGGGCTCTGGTGGGAATCTCCTCACCAGCCTCCCATCTGCTGTGAAAACCGGCGGCCCTTCACACTGGTATCTGCTCCCAGTGCCCGCTGCACAGACACTGCGCGCAGACAGACAGACCCGAGGCTCCTCCAGGTAATATTCCCCAGCAAAGCCCGCCCGCCCGAGCGCACAGCAGCTCAGAGGTTTTTTGTGGGAGATATTTTATTTTTACTTTGTTTCGTTTTATTTTATTTTATTTTATTTTATTTTATTTTATTTTATTTTAAGAACGAAGGCCAGGGAGTCAGAATCGCTCCTAAGATGCCACAACTCGGGCCACATTCCCAGGGACCTGCACTCACACGCCCACGCCGACCTCAGACAGGTGGCGGCGCACTGCAAGGACCAAGGGAAAGACACCAGCTGGCCCCGCAGCCGCTCCAGGGCCCCCGCTGGACCTGAGCCCGGGGCTCCTGGCCCGGGCAGCCGACGGGCCGCTGGTGAGGAGAAGGAGCCACGGCGTTTGTGTGTCTCCAGGCTGCTCACCCGTTTCACCTGCACCACCACACTGCCGCCTGTAAGGCAGGGGAGGGCAGGGCTGAAGATGGGAACGGGAAAAGGGAAGGCCCTGGGTCTCAGGTCGTCGATGAGGTATAAAACCCAGTGAGTGTTTCCCCCGCCGCTGGTTCACATCGCTGCCTGGCATCCGGCAGACTGCAGAGAGCTCTGTGCCCAGAGGGGCGCTAACGGCCCAATGGGGCATGGCACCGAGGGCACGCTTTGCACAGAATCCATGTACGTCCGTGGAATCCTCACACCATCCCTGCCAGGCAGGCTCCCCACCTCCCTTCCTTTAAGAGGAAACTGAGTCTCAGAGAGACTGAGGGAGGGCAGAGCACAAACCAGACCCCAAGCCCAGGCCACGCCCACCACACCAAGCGCCGAGGCTGGAATTAAACAGAGCGCCGTTAGACTAAACCGACAAGGAGGATTCAGAACGTACTGTTTCCTGCTCAAAAACGGGAAAGGCAGCATTAACCCTGAAGCAGCTTCTCGGGGAAAGCGTGTGCGTGAGCTTCCGCAGACAGCTTTAGAGCAATTGGGGAAATGGCTGCTTTGATGGTCTGCGCCTCCATCCTCACGGAAGGCAATCCGCTCGCCTCTCACCTTATCACGAACACGGCATTGTTTCTGAGGCTTAAGAAACCTCAAATAAAAACGTGTGGAGCCTTTATTATTCAGTGCCGTGCGATGAAGAAGCAGACAGCGGCATTTTTTTATAGATTTACTAGGTTGGAGACGGCAGTGCCAAACGCAGGGTTTATTGTCAAATAAAACAGTTCTGCTTTTTGATTGCCGGCTTTAAAGCGTTGCTGTGCTCTATAATTGCGTGCACGAAATTATTTAATTTGTTTTGTTTGGATCTTATTCTGGACACTTTCCCAGCCGGGAAGATGTAAAAATTAAAACATCTATTATGGCTTTTGTATGCTGAGGTGGGTGATAAAGAGGGAAAAAGGAATTATTCAAAAGACTGCGAGATATCCATTTTTTAAATGTCTCCTTGCTTTTCAGACCCCGCAGTGCCTGCGACAGCCAGGCGCCCGCTTGACTTCCGGCCACAGGAGCGCAGCTCTGCCCCCAACAGAGGCAATAGCGTCTCGTCATTGCTGCAAGGACGCCCTGGCCGGGCAGCTCAGCTGGTTAGAGCATCGTCCCCATACACCAAGGTTTGGGGTTCGATCCCCAGTCAGGGCACGTAGAAGAATCAAGCAATGAATGCATAAATAAGTAGAACAACAAATCAATATCTCTCTCAAATTGATTTTTAAAAATTAAAAATACTGTGCAAAGAACCACAGGGAGCCATTTCCGTAGCCACATCAGTGTTGGGGTGAACCACTGAGGCTTGGCGGTCCCATCTGTGGCCTAGGGGAGGGGCCGGAGAACCCGGGGCTGAGCCCTCTATAAGTGAAGTTAAACATGGATCCTCCTCGCGGCTTCCATTCAAAACTCAAGAGGCGCTGAAGCCAGCACCGGGCTGCTTCTACAGGACCTGAGTTACCGGAGGCTCCGCTCCATGCACACGGCAGGGCTTCCGAACGCCAGGACCAGCTGACGGTCCCTCGCTGTCCCCTTCGGGACGCCCAAGCCCAGCAGGAGCAGTCCTCCGAGACAATTACTGGAGAGCCAGTTGGGAGCATGTCAGCCCGGGAATAAGTGTGGAGCTTCCTTCTCCTAGCCCGGGCTGTGAGTGGGAGGAGCGGGACGGCTGGGCGGGGTCACTTCCTGGAGATGCAGGGTCCAGGCCAGTGACTCCCACCCTGGGTGCCGGACTCAGCCGACAGCGCTCCCCATGGAGATGCCACGGAGAGCCCTGTGAACGTGGGAAGGATGGAGAACGGGCCCCCTCTAGAAAGAATGGAGACAGAGGGAGGACAATGTGGGATGGAGGGACCGACAGGCCCCCTTGGGAATGGTCTCCATCCCCCGCGAGGCCGGGCGCCCTCACTCACTTCCGGTACTCCTCCTCCGTCATCCTCAGGCAGAAGGTCTCCAGCACCCGCCGCAGCTCGCTGGGCAGCATCAGGCCCGTCCTGTTCACGTCGATGAGGCTGAGGGCGCGGACCACGGCCTTGATGTTTCTGGAGATCTGCACGGAAAGCCGTTGGGGAGAGGTCAGAAGACCTGGGCTGAAAACCAATGGCCACGAGCAGCGTGAGCGCTGTGGACGCCGCTGGCAAAACACGGTTCAGAGCCCGCAGCCGTGGCTGCTGCAGTGGCGTGTGAAGGTGGAAGACGCTGTGCGTTTATGGAATGCTGTCAAGGCAGTGCTCCCTGTAACCGGTCTCGGTACGTTTTTAAACCCTTTCCGCTGGAAAGCCGTCAATCTCAAGCACAGCCCCCCCTGTAAGCCACAGGCAGCAGCCGCTTTGTGCCCGGCGCTGGTACCCAGCTCCGCGCCCGAAAATGCCAGCTCCTATTCCTCACAGCCACGTGCAGACGCTCCTACTGGGAGCTTATGGAACCATGACTGAACTTCACCATCGGACTTTTAAAATTCACCACAGCAAGTGCGTGCTGATGTCACAGTGAAGGGCACCGCAGGCCCGTGGAGACGCAGAGCGGAGCTGAGCACCTGCCTTCAGCCACGCATATTTGGAGGAAGGAGACACCCTTGGGCTCCGTGTGCCCAGCGCAGAGCCACGTGGCTGACTCGGGGGAGGAAGGGGGACCGGGTCCCCACTGTCAGATAACACTGAGGTTCAGGGAGGCCATGGGAGCCACCCAAAGTCAATCCTTAACCACCCGCCCTGCAGAGGAGAGAAGGCACAGAAGCTACCATGGGAACAAGAACCTGCCTCCGGCGTTTGTATGTTCTGTTCCCGGGCCTGGCACCTTCTGCCCGGGGAGCCTCTGGTTGCTCTCCGCTGCACTTGGGTCTCGGCCCAAACATCTTATCACAATGGCCTCTCCTGGGCACGTGCAGAAAATGGGAAGGACCCACCCCGCTTCCTCCAAGAACTTCTCGCCAACGAACACAATGCTTGTTGTTCCCCTGTCTCCCAGAGTGTCTGCTCCGCTCACGGCCCCCCTCACGGCTCCCTCACCTGCTTGGCAAAGGCCTCCCTGGGGCCTGGTCGCCTGCCTGCAAAGCTCTGCAGGGCCAAATGCAACAGGGTCACTGCACACAGTCACCTGCGTGGCAGTTACGTGGCAAGTCCCGTGCTAGGTTCCACACATGTCCCACTTCTGACCGCCAGAGACTGGTAGAGATGATCAAACACCGACACTGGGGCCGCTGAGCGAGGAGGAGGGGGCCCATGGCTGAGGGGTCCCCTCGGCTCCAGCACCTGGCCAGAAAGCGCAGGCCCGGCCACAGAGACCACGTGCTCCCACGGTCAAGTAACTTCCCACACCTGGTCTGCGGCAGACCGCGCTCACCTCCCCGGCGGAGCGGAGGGCACAGCGATGTGCTTTTTAAAACCCAAAGCGCCCATATGGCTCTGCAGCGGGGAGCAGCCAGGCTGGCACGGAGCCCCCAACCCAGCCACGGCTCCAAGTCTCTCATCGTTTGTCAGGCGGAGTTTGGCAGTTCTGCGCTGAGCTGCAGATGGCGGGCTCAGCAAAGGCTCGGAGAGGGCCTCGCTGTCAGGATCGGCCCGCGCAGGCTAGAGGGAAGCAGAGTGGAGGGACCAGCGTGTGGGTCACAGTGGCCATGCCCCGGGCCTGCCCCACGTCCCCATGCCCTGGCAGGGAGGAGGGCAGCGGCGGACAGAAGGAGACAGTGAGGGTGGCTCGGGCAGCACTCCCGTCCAGGCCGGCTGGACATGGGTGTTCGGTGTAACTGGGACAAGTCTGTGTGGAGAGCCAACTGTCTCGGAGCCTCCTGCATGTGTGCCCACCCTGGCTCTGACTGGGGGTCTCAGTCTCTGCTCTGTGACTTCCATCCTGACATCTGGCCTCCCTCCCCACTCCCTCTGGCCTCTGCTCCCCGGGGGCTTCATTCTCACCCTTTAAACCCCCCGTTTTCTGGGGGGAACTGGGGCACGGTCAACGGAAGGAGAGGGCACTGTCTCCTGCTTCCCCCCACCCCATCCAGCCCGCTTCTAGAGGAGACTGTGGCCGTGCCCTGTGACTGCGCAGACAGGCCAGGAGAGAGAGCCCCGTGGCCGGTCCCTCTCCTGTGTTCAGGTGCGGAAGCTGTTGGCCACTTGTTGTGTGCCTCCAAGCAAAGAATGGTTTTCCACGTCTAAATGGCTGGGGGAAACAAGAGTGGTATTTCGTGACATGTGAACCATATGTGGATTACAGAGAGCTTCCCAGACTCCTAAGTAAACGTTATTGGCGCCACCATGCCCCTTTATTTACCTACTAGGGGCCCAGGGCACAAATTTGTGACCTCGAAGGGAACTGTGGGCCATGAGGCTGCGGGAGGCACGGGGGCGGGTCTCAGCCCATCCTCTGCGCTCCTGCCCGGCCCCTCCCGCCACGGTCCCTGGTTCCCTGGCAGCCCATGTGCTGACGGCACCAGCCCCACTCTCACCACTGATGGCGCAGAGCGATTAGGGCCGGAGCCGAGTGGGTGAGAGTGGGGCTGGTGCCATCAACGAGTGCAAGCAGCGACTACTGCCCCGATCACCCCTCAGGAGCAGGGGGAGGTGGAGAAGCCCTCAGGGGCAATAGGGCTGGCAGCCACCGCTCGCACCCACTGATGGTACCAAGTGATTGGGACTGGCACCGGGCACCAACAGCAGGTGCAAGTGGGGCTGATGCCAGCTGTGGGTGCAAGTATTGGGCAGGACTGCGGCACACATGAGCAAAGAATTTTCAGTAACCACCCAAGGCTCGCCCCAATGACAGCGACCAGTGCCCCACCTTGGTCTGGCGCCCCCGTTCACCTGCACCCCATCCCACTCACGCCCAGGGCCTCCCAGCCAGGCACCGTCTCAGTGTCTCCTGCTCACCGCGCACCTGTCACCACAGTTACATCCATTTTACACATAAGAAGGACATTTTTAAATGGAACCACGAAAAAGGAATTCTTACAAAAAACACATCAGTGCTCATTTCCCTCATTATTCCACTTTTGGCTGTTTCGTATAAAATCTTTAATTAAACTTTTTCTTTGAAATCGTCGTTACCAACCAGAAGAAAGGACGGGGACGGAGGAAGCACAGCTGTGCAGACAGGAAGCCCATTCGGGACTAAATGGACTGGAACGGGGCGGCGGCCTGCCTGCTCCGCTCGGAGTCTGGCTCCGCATCCTCCAGCGCCGGCTAACTTGTCACTTTATATCAGCTCCATCTGTTTGCTCTGCAGCGTACTGGCTTCCTACCGTGAACACTTCCTATTTACCAGCTGGTAGCGGTGCGCCAAACCAGATAGGGAAAAATTAGAGGCGTTCAGAACCTCATAAACAAACTCTCCGTTCGGGCCCGGCGGGCAGAGCGCCGGCGGCGCCACCTCCACCTCCATGACACTGCTCTGGCACCCTGGGCCCCTGCACACGAGCATCCCCGTCTCCACCGAGGCCCGCACACGCTCACAGAGCCTCACACGAGACCCGACTACAAGGGGCTGACTACAAGGTCAAGGCAACCTAAACATCAGAGCTGCTATCCCGGAGCAAACACCCAAACTCTGGCGTGGGGTTCCTTGCTGTTCTATGAGCACAGGCCAACCTCCCGGATGTTTAATTCGTTAAAACGCGTCCCTGCCGCGTGCAGCGTAAGGGCTTCTAGGAGAACCCTACCCGCCTCTGCACCCCGACAGCCAGGAAAGCCAGCCGGAGGCTGCAGGCTCAGTGCGTGGCCGCTCAGCCGAGAGCCAGTCAGGCGAGAGCGCTCAGCCGCACGCCCAGCGAGGAAGGTCCGAGGGCTCCCACCTGTTCCCCGGCCCCGCACCGCTTTAAACACTCACTCTATGAGTTACTGCGCGTGGTTCGCCACACACAGGAAACATTCTTTTAAAACAAACAAGAAGATAAACCTAGTCTGAAATACGTCTGCTGTCCAGAATCCCTGCTGTCGCCTCCCGGGAAGCCTTGGGTGAGGCAGGACCAGAGCAGCCACAGGGTCCTGCAGGAGGAGTGCTTGCAGCTTCACTTCCACAAAGTGGCTGTGCCCGTCAGTGACATCCTCCAGATCACACGTGGGCGCGGGCGCAGGCGGAGCTGTGACACTTGTGATTGACAGCGCCTCCCAGCAATCTGTGCCAACAGCTCTGTGTACGCTAATTCCCTCCAGATAAGCGAGGCATGAGTTCAAATATCTGCCCAGAGCAATCCACCTGGTGGGAGGGGCGGGGGGGATGCGCACAGGAGATGCAGGAATCACGGGGCGCCTGCGCCTGGCCCAGGGCCTCGCTCCGGGCCTGAGGCTCGGCACGCGGCAGGCGGTGTGTCCGCTCGGACGCGCTGTGATCCTGGCGAGGCTCCTTTAGAGTGGCTGAGACTGGTTGTTTCTTTACTCCTCAAGCCGTAATTTTTCAGTGTCTTGTTTTTAGGACAATCCACACCCTCCCCGCTAACGCAGGGGCGATCCTGATCCACGGCGTGTTTATGTCGATAGGATGTCATACACAGTTGACTTTCCTGGGAGAATTTCATGATTAACTGTTTATGAAGACACAAGTTAAAGATGTACCCACCAATAATATCGATCGTGTGATGTTTCTTACAGAAGGACAAATGGATCGCCACGGAGGCAGCCAGCACGTGTAGCCGGTGCCCACCTCCTGGGGCCCCGGGAGCTGGGTGCGGAGCGAACTGTGTCCCATATGATCACACGCAGACGTGTGGCCTGGCGCTCACGGCCTCCGCCAGGAACACTCAGACACACACTTTGTGGATTTCTGGCTATTTTTGATATTCAAATGTATGAAAATCTCACAAGACTTCAAAAAAGAAAGAAAATTTGTCACATTTCAAACCAACATATTGAATCCAATAAATTAAGCCATGATTCTCAAACTGCTCGTGCAACTGACAGGTTCAAACGCATTTTAAAAAGGGGTCTGATTCCAAGCCCCAAATGCCATGAACGTGCCCCTCCCCCCATCTCCGCCCCCTCCCACAAGCTGGGTGCTGTGATGCCCACCGCAATCAGCAAACGGGGGGAAGCTACAGGCTCCTTCTCTCAGTGCGAGGCCCTTCTGTGACCTCCCGTGGTCTCCCTGAGGCCCTGGCTGCCTGCACCGTGCTGCACATGACTGGCCCTCACTGCTAAAGAAAACGCTGCTTCGGTCTGAGACAACAGAAAGGGCAGCCCCACCATCATCCACTAGTTAACGGGAAGGTGATTGACATCCCCGCACCTCTCGGGGTGCTCCGCAGGCCCCGCCATGCCCAGGGCTTCTCGCGGGCCGGCCGTGTAAGTTCTGTTCAGCCGAAAGCTTTGACCTAGGAACGCAAACCTCAAGCCGTGGCTGAGGCTGCACATCTCCCGCTGCCCACAGTGACTGCTCTTGAGGGCGGGCAGCATCTGACAAGCTCTCCATTACCTTCTCTCCTATGAGGATTTCCAGTTCTTTCAGTGTCCGGCCGCCATTCACTCCGCCTCCATTGCTCCTTAGGGACAAAAAAGAAAAACTCGTTAAAATGTAGCAAGGCAATGTTGACATAGGGCAGTGGTTGGCAAACCGCAGCTCCGAGCTGCATGTGGCTTGAGAGCCACGGTTTGCCGACCACTGACATAGGGCACGCAGAGATCAAAATGAGAAGGGTTACTAAACTGTGCATTTTAACTTTTATATTTTTACTAGTGGCCCGGTACACAAAATTTGTGCACATTAAAAGGGAATTAATTAGAGGAAATATTTTAATATTGCTATTTGTCCTTTCTCTATAATAGAAGTGTCAGAGATGAAAGAAAATTGGTAAAATGTATATGAAAATCTCCCTCCTGTCAGAGTCTGGTGGACGCCACAGGAACCAGCGTCAAGTCCCCACCCACCTATGCACACCTCAAAATCACATGAGACCCAGCCCCAGCCAGCCCCACCCCTATCAGGGCGTGGGTGCAGCCTCAGGTCTTCTGTCAATCCCTGCTGGGCGGGGCCTCGGCCTTAGGTCCCCCAGTGCAGCCTCAAGTCCCCTGGCCCCGCATGACAGCGTGATGTTGTGACAACCATTTGCATATTAGCTCTTTAGTATATAGTATTGATTTCAGAGAGGAAGGGAGAGGAAGTGAGAGAGAATCACTGATCGGCTGTCTCCTGCATGCCCCACACTGAGGATCGAGCCTGCAGCCCAGGCCTGTGCCCTTAGCCCAGGCCTGTGCCCCTGTGCCCTGGGACCTTTCAGTCCACAGGCCCACACTCTGTCCACTCAGCTACACCGTCCAGGGCTGCCCTGTGTACTTGTAAACACGGGATAGTGCTCATGCACCACGGTCAGCCAGAGTGGGACCTCAGAACGGCTTTGCTGGGTCTGCTGGGACCAAACCCCCTTTTGCTGGAGAGCGTCCTCACTTCTGTCCGGAAAGCTCTGAAGCTATTTCCTCAGACACACAGCTCCGGGGGCCCCGGCTTCTCTCAGGGCGGTGCTGATTAACCCATTCCCTTCTGGTTTCCTGTGACCCTTCAGAAGTCACTCCTGTCTCGGTGTTGACACCTGGCTTTGTCTTTGGGCTCTGTCTCTACTGTTTGCTCATCCAGCTTGAGATCTGGCTTCTCAGATCAGCACCTTTCACCAGTTCCGGGAAGTCCTGGGCCACATTGGGGCGTCACTCCCAGCCCCTCTCGGGACCCGAGGGGCCTCTGGTGCAGAGGTGCGTTCCGGCTCAGCTCTCCCATCCAGCCCTCCAGGCCGCTTACCTCTCGGGCTGTGTCTAATCTGCTTGTCAAACTCACTGAAATAGAACCCATTTGCAGAAAATGTATACAACAATGCACAGTTTCGTTATAATTAAGGCAAAGCCTGTTGGACAACTACCCAAATTAAGAACTAAAGCCAAACACAAAGGCCCCTGTGCCTGCTCCAATCTGAACGTCTCCTCTCTTCCTGATCGTAACCGCCATCCTAGTACTTAACATGCCGTTTCCTTCTACTTGGTTGTAACTGCACCCCCCAGGTATGTCTCCCTCACACACACAGTCCAACTTTCTTGTATGTTACATGAATAGGAGATTCCTTTGTTTCTTACTCCTTCGCTCATTCTTATGTCCATGAGATTCATTCAACTTGCTAACTACAGGTGTGTTTTTTAATTGATTTCAGAGAGGAAGTGAGAGGTAGAGAGAGAGAGAAGGAACAATGATGGGAGAGCATCATCCATCAGCTGCCTCCTGCATGGCCCCCATGGGGATCAAGCCCACAGCCCGGGCCTGTGCCCCGACTGGAATCGAACTGTGACGTCCTGGTTCATAGGTCCCTGCGTAACCACTGAGTCACACCGGTCGGGCATTAAATTCTACAGGGACAAGTTTTACCAACACGTCTTCCATATATATATCTGTTGCCATGATCAGTTCTAATAACCTTATGTCTTATGTCTTATCTCTTATCATGAAAATTCCATGTTTTCATATGAACAATAAACAAAACAACCACCACTTACCACCTTAGAAGATGTAGGTCCACCCCGCCAAACTTGGACAGGAACTGGAGGTACGGAACGTCACCGGAGCTGGTGAGGGAGAGCTGCATCCGAACAGGAAGAAGGACAGCCTGTTAGAGGGCTCGGACCCAAGCCGGGGCAGTGCCGGCGGAGGTGATGTGGGCGGGACATCGCTGCTCAGACCAGGGGCTGAGTGACGTGCATGCTCAGCAAGCCAGGTGCCAACAACACTTGTGCCAGGCTGCACTTCATTCAATGTCAACACGTTGTCTACAAAGTCATCTAAATCTAGATCTACCTAAAAAATAAAGCAAAAATCTATCCTGATGTGTTTATAGACACACGTGCTAATACACAGTATCTGTATGTTAATGTAAATGTGATGGGTTTGGTTCCCGAGAGGAGAGGAACAGCACGGCTACCCTCTGAGCGCCAGGGAGACTGTACCTCAGACTCTCTTAAGGGAGAAAATGTCATTCTTACATTCAAAATTCTAGCAGACATCACTGTATGTTAGCTTACCCCCCGATGTTTGATGGACTGCTGGTGACAGCGGCACTGTGACTGTGTAAGAGGGCAGTCCTTAGTCTACACACTGAAGTGCTTAAAGGAAAGAACCAGAAACACAAGCGACTTCTCAAACGGCTCAGACAACATCATGTCTATTGCCGTGTGCATCATATACAGCACTGTTTACACAAACACACACACACACACACACACAATACACGGAAAGGTCACAGAAGCAGGTGAGGTCACGTGTTCACGCTGGCACATGGGGGAGTGCTGCATTCAAATAGGAAGAAGGACAGCCTGTTAGGGGCTCAGACCCAAGCCGGGGCAGTGCCGGCGGAGGTGATGTGGGCGGGACACCGCTGCTCAGACCAGGGGCTGAGTGACGCGCATGCTCAGCAAGGGCGCTGACAGTGCCACAGGGGCCCCACCCACACTCTTCCTCTCCTGACAAATTACTTCTAAGTAAAAAGGCAAATTTTTTAAAAAGTGAAAATAACTTTTCTCCCGGCCTCCAAAAGAACTATGCAACTAAAATGAAGGGGAACATATGATCATTATACATGTGTTTATTCACGTTCACAAGTGCCCAGTGGCGATGGCTCCAGGTCTGCCCCGCCAGCTCCTCATTCCCTCACCCTCAGGCTCCCTGGAGCCCAGTGCAGCCTGCTCGGCGCCCCAGCGGACACCTCCCCTCCATTCAGCACGCCCCCCCTCTAGAGGGCACCCCAGGGAGGGTCCTTTGAGCAGCTCTTCCCGGGAGGACCCATGGCTTCTGACCTGGCGGGCCTGTGAGCTGACCTGACTTGGGGTGGACCCCGCAGTCCCCATGGCACAGAGGGTGAGGACAGGGCCCCGCGCTGCTCCTCGGGCGCCTGGCGGCTGGTGGTGAGGGAGAGGATGAAGCGGGAAAACTCGGCGAAGCTCACACTGCTCCGGGGCTCGGGGGCCAGGCCGGGTGCCCACAGGAGTTCCCCAGGCAGCCCGGGCGACCCCTGCGGGGTGGCACTGTGTGGCCTCCCCTCGTGGCACTGCCATCAGGGCCGGCCAGCCCCGTGCTACAGAGCCAGGCTCATCGCCCCATGAGCCATCCACCGGGGAAGTAGCCAGGACATCAGCCTCCTGAGGCTTCTGGCACATTCCACGCAGTCCTGGCGGCCTAAGGCAGAGACGTCTGTGATGGCCAGTCCCGCGCAGAGTCCTCAGACCCCACGGCCCTGTCCACAGGAGAGGCTCCACTGGGAACTCGCCTCCAACACATGTGATTCCGGCAAAAACGTTCATGCAAGGAAACCGTCCTCTGGCGAGGGCTGAGGGCAGAATCTGACGGGCTGGTCGTCGGCAGGAAAACCAACGTCCCTGCTGCCAAGGCCTGCAGAGACGCCACTCCCACCTGGCGCAGCCATAGGCCAGGCGAGCCGCTTCTGTTTGGAATCCATTTCTCAAGCCAACTTCTGCCAACACTGTGACATGGCGCGCAGAGACCAAGGCCGTATTCCTACCCTCGTCAGCTGATCAATGATTCTCGCTCATCGATGTTTCTAACTCTCTATCCCTCTCCTTTCCTCTCTATAAAAAAATCAATAATATATATATATATATATATATATATATATATATATATATATATTTTTTTTTTTTTTTTTTTTTTTTTTTTTTAAATGCCAAAACCCAACAGCCCAGACTGACGATGGAGTGACTTACACTTTACAGCTGGGTGGTGGTGCGGAAGCCACACGTTTTCAGGAGAAACTGTACTTTGGGTTTTGTTCTCTTCGGGGGCCAGGACACTGGGCAGTGGCCGCAGCTCCCAAGCAGCCACGTGCTCACCAGGGTCAACAATCAGTACCGTCCAGTGTACTCATTGTGTTGGAGCAGGGGTCGGCAAACTCATTAATCAACAGAGCCAAATATCAACAGCACAACAACTGGAATTTCTTTGGAGAGCCACATTTTTTAAACTTAAACTTCTTCTAACGCCACTTCTTCTAAATAGACTCGCCCAGGCCGTGGCATTTTGTGGAAGAGCCACACTCCAGGGGCCAGAGCGCATGTGGCTCATGAGCCTCAGTTTGCCGACCACGGTGTTGGAGGGTCTGCTCCCCGTCGCTGAGTGCCCGGAGCACGGTGGCGTGGGCTGGCCAAGCCAGGATGTTCCTGGGCTCAGTGTCCAAATGCATTTCTCAGGACAGTTTCCGCTGCCAGGGTTTATCAGGAGGCACACCCCTGGTAGTCAAGGAGCATCTGTACCAAGTTCCAAAATGCAAGTTGAGCCCGGCCAGTGTGGCTCAGTGGCTGAGCATCGACCTATGAACCAGGAGATGGTGGTTCATTCCCAGTCAGGGCACATACCCACGGTGCGGCTCAATCCCCAGTGTGGGGCATGCAGGAGGCAGCCGATCAATGATTCTCTCTCACTATTGATGTTTCTCTCTCTCTCTCTCCCTCTCTGAAATCAATGAAAATATATTTTAAAAAATGCAAGTTGACCAAATGCTTTATCTATTGGGAGCTTTATAAAACAAGACAAAACAAAACAAACAAAGAAAAGAAATTGACTGTAACGGTGCCATGTGCAAATTAGGACCAACGTTCACCCCAGCTATGCCCACGTGAGGAGGTGGCATGAAGAGAGCGTGCCCCGCTCCCGGGCCGCCGCTGCCCGCTCGCTGCCACCAGCGCTACCACCGGGTGGCGTCCTACCTGGGCCAGCACGTCCTGGAACTGCTCCCGGGTGAGCGACAGCAGGAAGGTGCTGACCACCCGGCGCAGCTCGCTCTTGGACACCATCATGCTGCGGCCGGGATCGAGCAGCTGGAAGGCTTTCAGCAGCTCGTCTCCTTTGTTGGTAATTTTTTGAAGTAAAATCCGTTTAACGTCTGAGAAGGACAGTATCGGATTTGCAGTGGTTGTGGCTGTTAAGAGAAAAATGGCTATTTAGTAACGTGCTTAGAGCTCAGCGACCAAAACCTCGCCTTGTGGCCTGGGCCAAGCCGCCTGTGAGGCCTGGTCTCGGTGGAATGACAGTAGCAGGGACAGAGAAGCACCAGGCAGACGGTGTAGGTCACTGCAGGTGGGCAACGGGGTGACACCAGGTGGCGGTTGCAGCTCCTGAGCAGCCACGCGCTCACCGCTTTTTTTCTCTCTCATTCTTTCTCTAAGGAAGTACTATCTAATAAGGAATAAAAATCAGTTTCATGCCGTGACCGGTTTGGCTCATGGATAGAGCATCGGCTTGGGGACTAAAGGGCCCCGGGTTCGATTCCGGTCAAGGGCATGTACCTTGGTTGCGGGCACATCCCCAGTGGGGAGTGTGCAAGAGGTAGCTGATCAATGTTTCTAGCTATCTATTCCTCTCCCTTCCTCTCTGTAAAAAAAATCAATAAAATATATTATTTTTAAAAAAGTGTTTGAGGAGGTCGGATGGGAGGGCTCATATCACCAACCTGCCGCTTAGAACCTGTGTAATGGGGGGGCAGTGTCCCGGGTCCCCGTAAAGGAAACGGACAATGACATAACCCGCCCCTCCCTCTGTGGGGGGACCCGACGGGAGGCCTCGGCCAGAGCCCGGCACCCACCGCACACAGAGACTCTGCTGTCAGCAGGTTGGCTCGCGAATACTCACTGGAGGAGCATCTGGACGTGTGGAAACCGTTTCTCGAACAGACTCTGAACGGTGAGGAATAGGGCCGTAGGTTTGTGCATTTGTGCATATGAGGACACGGAGTGTGCCAAACTGGTATGGTAGCCATTTTGCACATTAGATCCCTGCGGCAGAGAGAAAGCAGAGGCGTTACCTCCCAGCACACACTGCAGAGGTGCCGGCTCCCAGCGGAGCTGTAACACGCCTGGCTACGACCTTCTCGCCCGTGTCGCAGAGACTGTTCTTAAAGTGAACACAAAACTGCAGGGTACGCTCCCTGTTTTCAGCAGATCCGATCATCTTCAAAACTGGGAAGGTGAAGCTGTTTGGACACGAACCCCCACCTGCATCCTGACGGGTGTGCACCACTTTGCTCACATAAAAAAAAGCATTCAAACCTGAAAGAATTCTTGTGAGTTGATTTGAGCCAAACTGTCGACAACTGGCAGGAAGCAGGATCTCAGAGATCGGGTAATGCTCCCGAGAAGGGCGGATTAGGGAGAGAGGAGAGAGGATGAATGGCTGTCGGGAGGAGCAGGCGAGAGCGGGAGAGAAGATGCCCGCCTGTGGTCCTGGGACATGAACCGTACAGCTGGGCAGTGGCAAAGTCGGGTTTAGTTTGGGACAGGGTTTTGAAAGGCCAGAGTGGTACAGCAAGGGTGTGTGTGTGCCAGGGAAGTGACGGCGGGCAGGGGCTGCTCAGGAAGGAGCACCGGGAATGGTGGGAGTAATGGGCGTAACTGTGACACTGGCCGAGACTGAAGGGTTAAGAGACAAGAAACTCAACCTTATGAAGGACTTTAAGGAGGAAAACAAGTTATTGGAATCCCATTAGCATTTCCTGGGGACTGACTTTGAGCCAGGAAAGGTGCTTACGGTTTGTGAAAACCGTTACCGCTCCCCCTGTCCATCACCTTTTCCTCCTCCCACTCCACAGGTGAGGCTGATGCTCGGCCCAGCACGCCATTCGCCCAGGATAGTGGTCGGCAAACTCATTAGTCCACAGAGCCAAATACCAACAGGACAACAACTGAAATTTCTTTGGAGAGCCACATTTTATAGCTTAAACTGCTTCTAACGCCACTTCTTCAACATAGACTCGCCCAGGCCGTGGGATTTTGTGGAAGAGCCACCCTCAAGGGGCCAAAGAGCCTCATGTAGCTTGTGAGCCGCAGTTTGCCGACCACAGGCCTGTACGGCCGGCCGGAGGAGAGCTCCAGGCTCCCAGTGCGAGGTCAGCGATGGCCACAGCTCTCTCGCCTGTGGCTTCTGCGACATTGATGAGCAGCCCCGAGGCGGCGAGCAGTCTGGCTGCCCACGGACACGGCCGCCAGGAGTGCTCACCTCCCGCCTCGCCCGCTGGCCAGGCTCACGGGGAGGACTGCTGTCACTGCGTTCCTTCCTGCACTTCCTGCTCATGCAAATAACCTCTTTATTTACCCATCAATTCTCTGCCTAATAACAGCCCGGCGTGCCAGGGCTTTGGCCTCCTGCCTTATTACACCACCTGAGGAGCGAGATAATCACCCAGAAATATACTGCCTGGTGTGCACTTTATTACTTGAATGCAAAGTGATTCAATCCAAGGAACACTTAGCGGAAGTCAGCGTGGAAAAAATAATAATTGTGTGAGAAGGCGTTCCCCCTGGCTGCTGAGCACACTGCAGGAGGAGTCCCCTTCCTGCGGGAGGACGGCCCGGTGGCCTGTGGGGTCCGCTCCATGAGAATCCCCAGCAGCGGCAGGACCAGGAAAGCTGGTGCGGCCCCATCACAATGCGAGCGCCCCAGAGCCACGTCTGCGCAGCTCCGAATGGAGCCTGTCTGTCCGACCCCAGCATCCTGGGTGCGAGCTTTTCCCAAGCAACCACGCTCTTGGGGTTCACCCTCCAGCAAACGCTGCAGGGCCCCCCCGCCCCGCCCTCCGGCGAGGAAGAGAGGCCTGGCCGCCCTCCGGCCCTCCACAGCTCATCACCTGACTCAGGGTCTGAAGAAATGGCAGGTGTTTTCAGAACCAGGGAGCAGGGATCCGCATCGCCGTTCCACAGATGCAGGTGAGCAGCTCAGGGACCCCGCCTCCCCAGCTGAGGAGCGTGAACTGAATCCCGCCTGGGGGTCAGATTGAGGACTTTGCAGGGGGTGCCATCACCAGCGCCTCTTCCGGGGGCAGGGCTGTCCATGTGTAGGTTCCTCACGCGGAAATAATGTGTTTTTATTGCTCTTACTACCGTTATTTTCAAATGCATTATTTTCCATTTGTAAATATTGGTTTTAAAAGGCTGTTGAGGCAGAAAAGGAGCTTTAAAACAGTGGCGCTCAAATGTGGCCCCGGAACCAGTAGCATCAGAAATGCAAATTCTCAGGCCCTATCCAGACCAGCCGGAGCCCCTGGGTGGGGCCCAGCCTCCGTGTTTAACAGCTGAGCCCCACTGCGAAGAGCCGGAAGCGGATTTGTAAGGACCAGCCCACAGTCTTTTAAGGAGGCCTGTGTAAACATCCCGCTCACTATCAAAGTGACACAGAAATCCCAGCAAGTCCAGCTGGTGCGGCTCAGTGGCTGAGCGCCAACTCATGCACCAAGAGGTCGCAGGTTCCATTCCCGGTCAGGGCACATGCCTGGTGGGGGCTGTGCAGGAGGCAGCCGACCACTGTTTCTCTCTCATCGATGATTCTATCTCTTTCCCTCTCCCTTCCTCTCTCTTTCTAAAAAATAAAATAAAAAGCATTAAAAAAAAAAAAAAAAAAAAGCCCAGTGAAAAATGAGTCTGCACCCCAGCCATCCTCACCGAGGGTCTCCCCGCAACAAGCATCAGGGCTCCTCAACGCCCCACCCAGCCGGCACCTTGCTTCCAAAGGTCATCTTAGCAAACACCTTCTCTCGCAGTGTAAATTTCAAGTCTATGCATACACACTGCAAGACATACACACACACTGCAAGACATACACACACACTGCAAGACATACACACACACTGCAAGACATACACACACACTGGAAGATACACACACACTGCAAGACATACACACACACTGCAAGACACACACACACACTGCAAGACATACACACACACACTGCAAGACATACACACACACTGCAAGACATACACACACACTGGAAGATACACACACACTGCAAGACATACACACACACTGCAAGACATACACACACACTGGAAGATACACACACACTGCAAGATACACACACACACTGCAAGACACACACACTGCAAGATACACACACACTGCAAGACACACACACACTGCAAGATACACACACACTGCAAGACACACACACACACACTGGAAGATACACACACACTGCAAGATACACACACACTGCAAGATACACACACACACTGCAAGACACACACACACTGCAAGATACACTCACACTGCAAGATACACACACTTCAAGACACACACACACACTATAAGACACACACACTGCAAGACACACACACACTGCAAGACACACACACACTGCAAGATACGCACACTTCAAGACACACACACACTATAAGACACACACACTGCAAGACACACACACACTGCAAGATACACACCCAGACTCAGAAATCAAACTCAGAACATAACTGGGAACTATACTCTCAGCTGGGAAGTGAGAGCCTGGGTCATAGGCTCCGTGAGACAGAATGGTGCTTTTACACCCGGTGCCCCCGCCGGAGTACCCGGCTCATAACGGGCACTCCAAACGCACTCATCAAGCTACTGAGAGGGATTTTCACAGCCTTCATTCACACAGCGCTCCTCTCCCGGCACGCGTGTGCACCTGCGTGGGAGCGCGCACACACACACACACACACACACACACACACCCGAGATGTTGTTCGTGGCTCTCGCCATCCAAGGCGAAGTTTCGGCATCACCCATGATTCTCTCTTGTCCCTACACTGAGCACACGTGGCCGGCGACAGAAAGGGCTTCTTAGCACACGAGCTCAGGGCTGTTCACAGGCAGCCTTCCCTGTGAGCCCATGGCGCTGGACAGCAGGGACTGAGGAGGGCGGGCCAGGGGTAATGGACGGGACTTCGGCGGGCTGAGCGTGGTGCTCATTTTCTCAGCCTGAATGCCTTGCGGCCCAGGATGCGGATCCTAACTCGGAGCTCCCGCTGCTTTGTCTGTAATGTGCTCCCTCTCGTCAGAAAGTCACTCCCGTGCGTGCTGACAGACTCGGCAACGGGCCACGGGAAACGAGTCATGTCAGCAAACTGACCGCGCGTGGCGGCTGTCAATCCGGCGCCTGGCGCAGAGCGGTTTGACTGGCAGCCTTCTGCCGTGGCAGGGCTGGAAACCATTCCGTCCTGCCAGCTCCGGAGCCGACGGAGCGACAGGAGCCAGGAGCACGTCCTATTTATAGCTGCCAGGCGGCAGGCGGCAGGCTGGGGAGGGGGGCAGCCCGCCCTGCGGGAGGCTGCTGCCCCCTAGAGCAGCCCGGACCCCAGCAGGCCACCGCATTGCTTCCCGAACGCCCCGGGGCTAATGTCTGCTGTCCTGTTGGGCACCAAATTAAGGAATTCGATCTTCAAACCTATCAGCCGTTGCTTCCTGATACGATAAATACTGGCACGTCAGTCCCGAGACAAGCCTGGCTCCTAAGCCAGCACGCAGCGCGCGCGGCTGCACGTAGGGACTCGAGCGGGAGTGGCAGCGGCATCCCCATCAGCCGGGCCTGACGCCGCCGGCACTCACCGGCGGGGCGGCCCGGCCCCGAGCCAGCGGACACGGTGCGGGAGGAAGGCTCTCACCTGGCCTTGGTCTTGGTACTGCCTGACTTGGTGCTGTTGACCTTCGTTTTCATGCCATTTCGTTTCATTTCCTTCAGGATAAACTATTTCTGAATTTGTGTATTCTGAAAAAGAGAGAGGACTGGGTTAGCAAGGCTGCACACAGGTGTCCATCTTCAGCTTCTCAGGCCACGGTCTGCAGTGACACCAGTGACCCCGCCGCCTGCTAAACGGGGCCCAGCCCCCCGGCAGGTCCTCCCGTGGACCTCACTCCAGATGTCAGCTTTCCAGGCGGGGGGTTGATGTCAGTGCTCCCTTCCCATATCTCCATCTCACACACACACACACACATGCCACATGCTATACATACACACACA